AGGGTAGACTTTGGCATGTTTGTAAGCAGCAGGGAAGGACTTAATAGGGAGAGATTGGAAATTAAAGAGGGGTGATGATAGATGAGGGAGGACGATAAAGAGTTGGGCAATTTGATGGACAAGACAACAGAGAATGGAATCAAGGTTACATGTAGAAGGGTTAACGTTGGTGAGGAGGAGCGCCTCATCAGAGATAAGAGAAGGAAATAGTAGAAGATGAGATGAAGAGAGGGGGAAAAGAGGAAGATCTCAGGAAATGATCAGATTTTTGTTTGCAGTAAATTAAAAGGCAAGGTCCTCAGCTGAGAGAGTGGAGGGAAAAGGCTTCTGTGAAGTCTTAGGTTTAGGACAGCCATTGTGAAGAGTGGGAAGCAATTAGGGGAGATGAAAAGAATTGCTTTGCACAGTGAAGACACAGCTGAGATGAGGTAACAGACCCATTCAGGATGTGACTGTCACAGAAGCTTCATTCAGCAACAGGAGGGGAGGAGGCAAATGGTGGGAATAAGTCAGGGTTGGGGTTTGGCAAGGTGTGCTTGACAATAAGACAGGGAAGTCACATATTCCAGAGTAGTGGATAGTATCAAGTTGAACTGGTTCACCAAGGAGTCAAGACTGGGAAGGGAGGAGAGGATCATAAGAGCTTAATAAAGTACTGGGAGCTGGAGGAATTTGAGTTCACAGCGAGGATGAAAAATAGACTTAGGAGTAACAAGACATAGGGAGAGATAGAATGACAGCAAATCGTGATCAGATAAGGTAATTTAAATCCTTCATCATAGAAATGGAATACTAGTGGGTGATGATGAGACCAGCATGACCAACACTGTGTGTAGCTGAGGTGGAATGGAGCAGTAGCAAGTGAGAGGTGAGCAGACTGAGGAACCGGGAGGTCAGGTGTTTAAAGGACCATCGATAAGTATGCTGAGGTCTCCTAGTATGAGGGCAAAGGATGAAATGGAAAGGGAGATTGTAAGCCAGGCACTAGATTTATTGAGAAAGGACAGAAAATATCCCAGGGGAGATCAGTAGATAATGGCCTTTGAGATCTAGATTGGGTGATGAATTTAGAGAGAATGATCATCAAAGGAGGAATGGTTGCTGAGTGACAGTGGTAAAAAGAGAGCAAAGCATATTCTGACTTCCTTGTGTGGCCAACCACTTCCCTACCAGGTAGAGGCTCTAATAACCTCTCACCTGGATCACTGCAATAGCCTTCTAATAATTCCCCCACTTCATCTCTCTCTTCATCCTCCACCATCTATCCTGCCCCCAGCTATCCAACCATGTTGTGCATGCATAGGTGTGAATACACACACACACACACACACACACACACACACACACACTCCAGGAGCTCCCTATTACTCCCAAGATCAAATACAAAACCCTCTACTTGGTGTTCAAAGCTTTTCATAACCTAGTCCTCTTCTACCTTTCCAATAGTCTTATACCTTACTGACATCCACATACTCTTCCATCCACTGGCCTCCTTGCTGTCTCCCATGCCTGGTTTTCTTCCTCCTCATCTCCACTTGACTTCCTGGAAGTCCTAACTAAACTCTGATCTACAGGAAGCCTTTCTCAATCTCTTTTAATCCTAGTGCCTTCCCTCTTTTATTTCCATTTTTTCCTGTACACAGCTTGCTTGTAGTCTGCCCCATTAGACTGTGAGCTCTTTGAGGGCAGGGACTCTCTTGCCTCTTTTTGTATCTCCAGCGCTTAGCACAGTGCCTGCACTAATTGGTGCTTAATATTCCTTGACTATTGGTTGTCAAAGTAACATTCCTTAAGCACAGCTCTGGCTATGTCATTGCACCTTACTCATATGGTTCCTTAGTGCCTTGAGGACCAAATAGGCACTCCTGTTTGACATTCAAAGGCCTTCAGATAGTGGCTCCATGGTCCAGCCAAATTAGCCTGTTTGCTGTTACATACAAAATCCCACCTTCCCGCTGTGAGCTTTTGGGTATTCACTATGCCTACAGTATGCTCCCACCTCACTTCTGCTACTTAGAATCATTGATCTAGATTTGGAAGGGACCTCAGAGGCCCTGCCTAACCCTTTCATTTTGCAAATGACCTGTAGAAGTTAAATGACTTGCCCAAAGTCACATGGGTAAGTAGTTGAACTTGAACTCAGATCCCTGGACTCTTCACTGTACCACACTAAGTTTCCTTTGAAGTTCAGCTCAATGTCACCAGAGACCTTTCCTGACTACCCCCTCCCAGATACTAATGCCTTTCTCCTTGCAAAAATGACTCTCTGTGTGTGTGCATGCATATACTTATTCTTAGGTATACATGTATGCCTGGAGAAGGAAATGGCAAGCCCCTCCAGAATCTTTGCCAAGAAAACCTCATGGACAGCATTGGCATGCTATGGTCCATGGGGGCACAAAGAGTCAGATCACTGAACAACATACAAGAATGTGTGCACTCATGGGGATCCAGGTTATATTTCCTGATAGAACAGAAGTTCCACGAGTATAGGAAGCATTCCACTTGTGTCTTCACATCGCTAGTGCCCAGCGTTGTGCCTGGCATATAGTACTTCATAAAAGCTTGTTTCTTGTGTATTGACTGAGCAATAAGTATAGAGGATGTCCTAGGACTTGGGCTATGATAAACAGAAGAGAAAAAGGACCTTGGGATCCGAGATACTAATTTGAAGGACCTCAGCAATCACCTAGTGTGATGCCCTAGTTCCTCAGATAAGGGAACTGATGCCCAGAGAACAGAAATGACTTTCCTAATGTCATACCAGTAACTAGGCAGGCTAAGGATGGAAGCTTAAGGAGATGGCTAGGTCCAGTGAAGTTTTTCTCAGGATGGGAAAGAAGAGACTATCTTTAGAGGCAGCAAGGAAGAAGCCAATGGGCAAAAGAGATTGAAAGAATTATCAACAGTGAAAAAATTCTCAGAGGAAGTAGGAAGGAGATGAAGGACACAGGTAAAGTGGTCAGCTTTAGCAAAAAGGCTACCTCTTCCTCAAAGACTTCAGCAAAGAAGATAATGGGGAACAATTTAGAGAAGGCTCTGGGATGTGACATAAGAGCCCAGGGTGGACGATCTCTTTTTCTCACCAAAGTACAAAAGGAGAGCCTCTGCTAGGGGTAGGAAGTGGTGAAGTAGTGGCGTAGGGGCCTTGAGGAAGGAAAATTTTGAGTAGCCACTGTCAGGATGAGAAACAGTTAAGGGAAGAATCAAAGGCCTGGTGGCAACATCAAAGGCCAAGCCAAGATTACATAACACCAATCTGCGACGGACCCATTTAGGACAGTTGTGTGACTCCTCCAACAGTGTCCAGTGGTCTGCATGGAGGAATGGAGAAGGCTATTTGGTGGAAAATAACTTGGGCTTGAAGATCTGGTAAGAGCAGCAACAGGACATGGGATTCAAAGACGATACCATTAAAAGTCATCTATCATAGTCACAAGACCACAGATTCTCTGGTTTGAGACCAATTAGTCCACCCCATTTATGGGAAACATCCCCTGAAAATCCGGGCTTACACATGGTCATCATCAGCTCATTCTTGAAGACCTCTAGAGATGGAGAAACCACCACCACCACCACTTCAGTGAGTCAGCTTTTGGGGAGATCAAGCTGAAATGGTCTATTGGAAAGGAAATCCGAATCCCACGTGTGCTTGTATTACAGAGCAAGGAATTTGAATTTCAAAAGATGAAGCCAATGGCTTGGCCAAGGTCTCTCTCTCACACACACACAGAGATCTTCTGGAGCCCAAGTGATGGTTCCTGGGAAGCACCTCCTAAACAATGGAAAGCTCCACCCTTAGAGGGTGAGGGTGTGTGTGTGTGTGTGTGTGTGTGTGTGTGTGTGTGTGTGTGTGTGTGTGTGTGTGTGTGTCTCTGATAGTAGCAGGCGGGGGAAAACATCCAGAAACATGACTTAAGTACAAAATATATGTAAAGTAAGGACAAGACAATTTTGGTGAAGGAAAAGCATTAACAACTAAACAAATCAGGAGACTGGCCTGGTGCAAGACACAGCATTGGAGTTGAGCTTTGAAGGGAGCAAGGGATTCAACAAAGCAGAGAATTCCAGGCAAGATGGATGGCCAGTGCAAAGGCAGAGAGACGGGATCTGGAACACAGCATGTAATGAACCCACAGGCAGGCTGGAAAGTAGACAGTCTGAACAGAAGCCAAAGGAAAGCAACTGCAAAGCACTTTTAAAGGCAAACAGAGGACTCTGCCTTATCCCAGAGATACCAGGAAGTCATTCAAGCTTCTTGAGCTGGGGAGCAGCATGGTCAGATGGGAGCTTTTGGAACACCAATCTGGGAGTTGTGAGGGAGAAAGAACAAAAGGAGACCAAGGAAAGAGGATGATGAATAGTCTAGGAAAGAGGGGAACGCTTATGCTACAATGGTGAGCATGAAAGGAAAGGACAGACACCAGGGATTTTGACAGCACGCAGTGACGTCCCGAAGTCATAAAATGAGGCAGGGGCACAGCTGGGATTTAAAACCCAGTGTCACAAGGACACAGCAAAGTGACATTATCTCAAGGCCAAATGAGGCTGGGAAGGGAGTCCTCCCCATTACTGGTCTCCCAATTGCTGGCAAGGGAAGAGCTGAGACAGGGTAGTGGTGGTCCAGAGGCTCAGCAGGAGAATCCTCTCACTCAGGGCATTGCTCCTGGATCTAGCTAGGAGGCTGTGGGGGAGGAAGCAGGAAACCAAAATTCCCACCACGCATTTCTTAGGGGACTCCCATGCTGGTTTTTTTTTTCTTGAGGCTTGGAGTACAAGGACGAAGCTATATAGAAAAGGGGTATCCTGGGACTGGAGAGAAGACAGGAAGTTCTCAGGTCACTGACCCCAAGCTGACCCCTCCCCCCCCCCGATTGCCCTGGGTCTCTTAGGGAGGGCAAAGGATGGAGTCGTGCCACAAGGATAATATTTATTTCCAACTTTGTCTGTACAAACTGCGTCTTACCCCCCACCCCCACCCCACGCCCTCCCCACACATCCAAATGGCAATCAGCCCCCCTACCCCATGTCTCTCCCAACCCACCTCCCCCTCCCCTATTCCAGCCAGATTCCAAGATGGTGGTGGTGGTGGTGATCAGGGCGGGTGGGAATGAGCCTCATTTCCTACAGGTTCGGGCATGGGCACGGGGTGGGGTGAGGGGGTTACAAAGGGGCAGATGGAGAGGGAGTCTGGTGTTAGGGGGGTCCTAGAGTTCCCAGGATGTGGGGGAGGTGGGGGAGAGAGAGGTGAAGGATTAAGTCCATCCCTCATGATGGGAGTGGCCAGATCCCTATGGAGTGAAGCGCGCCCCCCCCCCCGGCTTTGGGAGAAGGGTGGAGGGGGTTGGCAGGTGGATAGCCCCTCTCCGAGCTCTTGGTGATGCCCAGGAGCAGGAGGAAGTAGGTGCTGACCGCCTCCAGCTTATCCCCTCAGGACTCCTTGGCCCCGGGAGCGGCAGCCCCCAGCCTCTCAGCCTTGTGGATCAAACGGTGCTTCTTAAGGCCATATGTATTGGAGAAGCCCTCCCCACAGGCCGAGCAGCGGAACGGCCGGCCACCTTGGTGGGCAGCCAGGTGCTTGCGGAAGTAGCCGGGGTCTTTGAAGACCTTGAGGCAGGCTGGGCAGCGCAGCTCCGGTCGTGCGGGCTCATGGGCCCGCTGGTGCCGCAGCACCGAGCTCAGGTAGAAGAAGGCCTTGCCGCAGTGCTCACAGCGGTAGGCACGCTCACCCAGGTGCAGCCGCTGGTGCTCCAGCAAGTTGGAGCGGTAGCGGAAGGTCTTGCCACATGCACCGCAGCGCTGGGGCCGGGCCACGGCATGCAAGCGGCGGTGTTCGGCCAGACTGGAGGACTGGGCAAAGCGCTTGGCACACACGGCACACTTGAAGGCGCGCTCGCCCGTGTGCACCACGCGGTGCTGCCGCAGGTACCAGGAGCGCAAGAAGCCACGCCCACAGACGCCGCAGCGGTAGGGCCGCTGCTCTGTGTGGCAGCGCTGGTGGCGCATCAGCAGCGCCGCCTCCCAGAAGCGCTTGCCACACACGGGGCAGCGGAAGCCGCGTTTCTGGCGGTGGCTGCGGCGGTGCAGGAGCAGGTCGTAGGCGCCGGCGAAGCTCTGGCCGCACAGGCCACAGCCCAGCGTCCGCCGTACCAGGTGCACGTACTTGTGGGTCACCAGCCCCAGGAAGTGCTTGAAGCTCTGGCCGCAGGTGGCACAGCTGAAGCGCTCAGGGCCCCCGGGGCCGGGCCCCGCTCCTGCCCCGGCCCCTGCGCCCGCCTCCTCCCCGGCAGCCCCGGCCGCCAGGGCCGCTACAGCTGCCCCCACCTCCCCAGCCAGCCCATTGTCCAGGCCCGCACCCGGGGTGTCTGGGCCGGGCCCGTCGGGGGCTGGGGGAGGCAGGAGGCGCTCAGGGGCCGCCTGATGGACCAGCTTGTGCCACATCAGGTTCTCGATGAAGCCGAAAGCCTTGCCGCAGGCATCACAGCCATAAGGCTTCTCAGCCATGTGTGCCTCCTTGTGGCTCATGACGTGGAAGAGGTCAGGGAAGTGCTCCCCACAGTCAGAGCAAGCATAGCTGAGGCCCTCGGGCGGGGCCGCCCCCGTGGCGGCCGAGGCCTGGGAGGCGCCAGCCCCAGCGGCTGGGCCGAGGCCAGCAGGAGCAGCCAGGGCACAGGGTAGCTGCAGCCGATGCACCTGGCGATGGCGTGTGAGGCTCTGTGGGTAGCCAAAGACCTTGCCACAGAGTTCACACTTGTAGGGCCGCTCCCGTGTGTGCACCACGTGGTGTTTGCTCAGGTGGAAAGACTCACGGAAGCGCTTCCCACACACAGGGCACTGGTGGGGCTTCTCTCCTGTGTGGATCCGCTCATGGCGCTTTAGGGTCTCACGTCGCCCAAAGCCCCGTCCGCAGATGCCACAACAGAAGGTCTTTCCTGGAGCCGGGACCCCCGGCCCCACAGCCCCACTGCCCCCGCCTCCGGCCGGGCCTCCCGCACCCCCCAGCAACAGAGGGTGGGCCCCTAGCAGCGGGACTGAGACAGCCCCATAGACAACGGCTGCAGCCGCGGCTGCAGCTGCGGCCTTCTCTCCACTATCGCCTGCAGGTTCCGGGGGCAGGAGGTAGGGCCCAGTAGGAAAGGTGGGTGGCGGGGCTGGGGCCGAGCCATCCTTGGGGACCTCAGGGGCTGCAGCGGCAGGGCCGTGGGCTGCTTTGTGGCGCAGCAAGCTTTGCGGGGCAGAGTAGGACTTGCCGCACAGGTCGCAGGGATACTCGGGGCGGGGTGCCGGGGCCCCGGTGGCAGCATGGGCCGCCTGGTGCTTGAGGAGGTAGGCCGCATCCCGGAAGGCCTTCCCGCACACGCCGCAGGGGAGCCGCAGCAGGTCGGCGGAGTGGGTCTTCACGTGGCGCTTGAGGCTCTCCCGGCGGTTAAAGCTCTTGTTGCACACAGTGCAGGAGAAGGGCTTCTCCCCTGTGTGGATGATCTGGTGCTGGTGGAGGTGACTGGGCTTCTTGAACACTTTCCAGCAGAGGGGGCAGGTGAAGGGGCCCTCCCCCCCAGGGCCCGGGGCCACTGGGGCCACCCCGGGAGGAGGAGGACCGCCATCCACCCCAGCAGAGGCAGCGGGAGCCAGAGCAGGCAGCGGCGGGGGCGGCGGGGCCTGCGGGGTTCCGGGCATCGGAGGTGCGTCCTTGTGGCAGCGGCGATGGCGGATGAGGCTGGAGACGTGGTTGTAGGTGCGCCCGCAGACTCCACACTCGTAGGGCCGCTCCCCGGAGTGCACCAGCATGTGCTGCACCAGGTGGGAGGATTGCTTGAAGGACTTCTGGCAGACCCCACAGGGGAAGCGCCGCTCCATTAGGTACTTCAGCCGGCGGAAGTAGCCCTTGTCATCCTTGGCGGCAGCGCCCAGATCGCCAGCCACGGGAGCCCCTGGGGGCCCGGGGCTGGGGCTGGGCAAGGGCCCCGGTGTGGCTGGCCCGGCCCCAGGCCCGCCCGCTGTCCCAGGCCGCTTGAGGTTCCCAAAAAGGTGCTGGTGCCCAGAGAGGTCCACGATCCCCCACTGCGGAGCAGGGAAGGCAGCATCAAAAAGGGGTGGAGGTGGAGGTGGAGGTGCCCCAAAGCCTGGGGGCAGAGCTGGCTCAGGCTTCTTTGCCTGGGATGTGGAAGAGGAGGAGGACGACGAAGAAGAGGAGGACGAAGAAGAGGAAGAAGATGATGACGACGATGAGGGAGTCTCAGCTTTGGGCTTGAAGGCGGGCGGTGGTGGCGGGTAGTCGTACTGGGGTGGCGGGGGCTGTGGCGGGCCCTGGGGAGGGGGCCCTGGTGGGCAGGGCAGGGCGGCCACGGCCTTGGCGTGCTCACCATACAGCTCCATGGGCTCGAAGCGCTGATGGTTGAGGAACTCCAGAAAGTCAAAGGGATAACTCTGGAAATGGACGCCGTCCTCACCCCCCACGCCACTCCCGCCCCCGCCGCCACCACCGGGGTTCGCCTCCATCGCGGGCAGCGGGGAGAGCAGTCCTCTCTGCGACAGGGAGAAGGGAGTCGAGTGAGGACAGGGAGCTCCTGGAGCCCAAGCCCCCGCAAGCCCTCCTCCCCGCCCGGCGCCCCCTCGGCCTTACCCTCAGCCTCCTTTCCAAGCTCCCTTCCTCGGTCTTACCCTCTCAGTCTCACCCCAAGTCTGCTCCATTCCCCGCTCAGGCCCTCCCCGAGTCTCTTCTCAGATTCTCCCCTTATCTCCCATTGCTGGGTGGCAGCGAGGGGCTCTCCCTGGAAGGGACACAGAGAAGCTACGTAAAGACTCCTCCCTGACCCCTGGGGCCCCTGACCCAGGCAGTCCCCATGGTGGGGGGGAGGGGAGAATCCCACCCAGCCCCCGCAGGCACCGGGGTGGCGGAGCCTCCTTTCACACCAGAAGCCCCGGCAGGGCCTGCCCAGGGCCCCAGCCCCCCAGGGGTGGCTTATGCCTCTACTTCATGCCTGGGGTGGGCGGCATAGAGCTGCCTCGATTTCTCTGTCTGTACAATGGGATGAAAAGATCTCCAAGCACCTTTCTGTCCCCTTGTCTCCCTAGGGGGCTCTCGAGCGCCTGCCCCTGCGTGGAGGGCTGTAAACACCCCCTGCCCCAAGACCCTCAGATCCCTGCTCGTGGGGGAGGGTCTCTAAGCACGGCCCCTGCCCCAACTCCTTCGGGACCCTGGTCACTCAAGGAGGGATCTCCAAGCACCCTCCTCTCGGGTCACGGGAAGGATCTCCAAGCGCCTTCCAAGCCTGGAGTCCTCTCAGACCCCGGAGGGGGGGGAGGGGAGGCGGATCTCTAGGAGTCCCCCCCCAGCACCCGGAGGATCTTCAAGCGCCCCCTGCCCGCTTCCTCTCAGGCCCCGGGGCCCTCGGGGAGGGGATCTCCGAGCGCGCCCCCGCCGGCGGGAGGATCCCCAAGCCCTCTTCCGGCCGAGGGAGCTGCAAGCGCCGGGCCGGGCGGGGGGCGGCTCCCGGGCGCCCCCGAGCCTCGCGCGTCACTCACCTGGGCCGGGACCGGGGGCGGGGGGGGGCGGGCGGGCGGAGGAGGCGCCGCAGCTCCGGGGAGACCCGAAGGCCCGACCGGAAGTGCCGCCCCCCGCCCCGCGGCCCCCGCCCCCTCCCGCGTCGATCGCCGGGCCGGCCACAGGAAGCGGAAGCAACGTAAACTCCGGCTGGAAGTGCGCGGGGCGGGGGGGGGAGGAGGGAGGAGGTCGCAGGCGTGGAGAGAGAAGGGAGGGCGAAGAGCTGAGGAGACTGAGCCTGCGCACTGCGACAGGGGTGAGGGGCCGTGTGCAAGGAGCCTCCGCCTGCGCACTGTGAGAGCAGAGGGAGGGCGGGGAAGAGCGGAAGCTGCGCCTGCGCAATGTGTCCTGAGGGGGGCGGGAGAGGAGAGGCGTCCTCGACTTCCGTCAGTGCCTGCGCTTGCGCACTAGGGCCAGCTTCTGCCCCCCCCCCCCTTCAACTTTCTCCTGCCCTCTAAGTCCCTCCCCTCGGTCCCATCCCCCTCATCGAAGCCACCCCCCCCACTCTTCTCTCCTCCCCTCAGGCTCTACTCTCTCCTTACTGCTTTCTTCTTAACTAAACCCCTCCTTTCAGCCCTCCATCCTACTTCCTTTTAATCTTGTCCCCTTATTTCCTACTCTTCCTTCAGCTCCAAGCCCTCTCTTCAGTCCCTCCCCTCCTCTAGTCACGCCTCGATCCTTCTTCCTCCCAGTCCCTCCTTCCCGTCACTCAAACCCGACTTTTCCTTAGCTCCTCCCCCTCAGCCCGTCCTTCATAAACTCCACCCCTGACTCTTGGACTCTTCTAATTCTAAGCCCCGCCCCCTCCAGTCCCTCCCTCAAGGCCCCGCCTCCTCTTTAGCCCCACCCCTTCCCCCCCTTCAGCCACTTCCTCTCAGCTCCTGCCTCAGTCCCTCTCTCTCAGCCCCTCCTCTCTCTTCTCCATCCTTCACGATTGTGGTCTCTAGAGGGGGCGCCACGAGGCATGGAGCTCTAGGCCTGGAGTCTAGGAAACCGGAGTTGAAATGCAGCCTCAGACACTTCCTAGCTGGGTGACCTTGGGTGAACCACTGCCTGCCTCACTTTCCTCAGCTGCAAAATGGGAATAATAACAGCACCTTGCTTCCTGGGTTGCTGTGAGGAACACATAAGATAATAAAGCACTTGGCATATAGTAGGAGGCAGCTGGGTGGGGCAGTGCATAGAGTCAGGGAGATATCTTGCTGGGCTCAAATCTGGCCTCAGACACTTAGGAGCTGTGCAACCTTGTTTGCCTCAGTTTCCTTATCTGTAAAATGAACTGGAGAAGGAAATGGCAAACCACTCTAGTATCTCTGCCAACAAAACTCTAAATGGGGTCACCCAGAGTCGGACACGACTGAATGGCAACAAGGTGCTATATTAATGCCAGCTATTATCATATGGGTTCTGTCTCTCAGTGTAGCAGGCCCTGTTCTGGGCTTCCAGCAATAACTGCCCCTTCCTCCCAGGTGGGAGTAAAAAGGAGGGCCTCCTTCATACAGATAAGAAGGAAACATTGTCAGTCAAATTCTTATGCACCTAGGAGGCACCAGGCACTGTGCTAAGCTCTGGGGACACAAAAGGAAGTAAAAGACAGTCCCTGCCCTCAAGGAGCTCACAGTGTGATGGAGAAAACTAGCACATATGTACAATCAAGCTAAAAACAGGGTAAATAGGAAAGAATGAATGGAGAGAAGGCCCTGGATTTAAGGGGGAAGGAGACTTAAAGGAGGCCAGGGAGGTCAATAGTCAGAGCTGAGGAAAGAGCGCAGGCCAGGCCTGCAGGGCAGCCAGAGATCATGCCCAAAGCTGGGAAATGGGGGGGGGGTCTTCTTCATGGAACAGCCAAGAGACCTGTGTCACTAGATCAAAAGAGTACACGGAGGAGAGTAAGGTATAAAGAGACTGGAAAGCTAGAAGGGATTGGAGGATATGAAGGGCATTTTGTATTTGGTCCTAGAGGTATTAGGGAACCACTGGAGTTTATTTATGAGGAGGGGACTTTCCTGTGCTTTAGGAAAATCACTTTAGTGGCTAAATGAAGGATGGAGTGGAATGGGAAGAGACTTGGGGAGAGCAGGCCCACCAGCAGCTATTGCAGTCATCCAGGTGAGGTGAAGAGGGGCGCTGCACCAGGGTGGGGGCAGGGTCAGAGCTTAGAGGATACTGGGGAGATGCTGCAGATAGGAAATTGACAAGAGATGATGCAAAGGTGAAATTGACAGGCCTTGGCACCATCTTGGATATGGGGTAGGGTGAGAGAGAGGGGGGAGTTCTGTTTGACTCCTAGGTTGGGAGCCTGAGGGACTGGGAGGATGGTGGTGCCCTCTACAGTCATAGGGAAGGGTAGAGAGGCAGAGAGTTACAAGGAAAGGTAATGAGTTCTGTTTGGGACATGTTGAATTTATCATGTCTACTAGACATCCCATTCTAGATGTCTGAAAGGCAGTAGGACATTCAAGATTGGAAATCAGCAGAGAATTGGAGGCAGGAAAGGTAGATTTGAGAATCATCAGTATAAAGATGATTATTAAATCAGTAGAAGCTGATGAGATCCCCAAGTGAAGTAATAGGGAGGAGCTGGAGAAGAGGGCCCAGGACAGAGCCCTGAGGAACACCCATGGTTAGATGGCATGCTCTGCAGGAAGATCCAACAAAAGAGACAGAGAAGAAGTGGTCAGAGAGGGAGGAGGAGAACCAGGAGAGAGTGGTGTCCCAAAAACTGAGAGAGAAGAGAGTATTAAGGAGAAGAGAGTAATCCACAGTGTCCAAGGCTGCAGAGAGGTCAAGGAGAATGAGATTGAGGAAAGGCCATTGCATGTGGCAACTAAGAGACCACTGATAACTTTGGAGAAAGCAGTTTTGGTGGAATGATAAGGTCAGAAGCCAGAGTGTAAGAGGTTAAGAAGAGAGTGAGAGGAGAGAAAGTAGAGGCACCTAGTGCAGATGCCTTTTAAAGGAGTTTAGCTATGCAGGGCAGAAGAGACATAGAGTGATAGCAGGGATCAAGGGAAGGTTTTTTCAGGATGGAGGAGACATGGGCATGTTGAGGGAATAAGCCAGTAGAGAGAGAGAGATTGAAGAGAAGTGAAAGAGGAATGATAGAGAAGGCAGTCTCCTGAAGGAGACAGGATGAAATGGGATCACTTTGTGCTAGAGGGGTTAGCCTTGGTAAAGAGTAAGGCCACTTCGCCATGTAACACAGGGAGGGAAGGAGTTGATAGTGGCAGATGGCACCTGAGTGATAGGAGATGAAGAAAAGGGGAGAAAAAGGAATGTATGGAATGGCCTCATTTTTTTCAGTAAAACAGGAGGCAAGGGTCTCAGCTGAGAGGGTGGGGGAAGGGGGAGCCATGAAAGGTCTCAGGAGAAATGAGAAGGTTTGGAATACCAAATGTGAGATAAGGAACAAAGTATTTCTGGAAAATGTGAGGCAGAGTTGTCCCCTGGGGGCAACACAGAAGGCTTCCTGGAGGAGGCATCACCTGAGCTGAGCCTAGAAAATTGCCCTCTATGTGGATTGGGGGAGGTAAAAATCAGAAGCAAAAAATTTTTGAGGATGGACAAGGAGAAAGGAAAGAGAGTAGGATGGAGGGGGGCAAGGAAATAGGATGGAGAGAAATACATAGTAACCGTAACTGTGAAAAAAATTTTACAGCAAGTTTCTCTGATAAAGACCCCATTTCTCAAATATACAGAGAACTGAGTCAAATTTATAGAAATAAGAACCATTCCTCAATTGATAAATGGTCAAAGGATATGAACAGGTAGTTTTCAGATGAAATAATCAGTTATATATATTAATGAAAAAATGCTCTAAATCACCATTGATTAGAGAAATGCAAATTAAAACAACTCTGAGGTACCACATCCCACCTATTAGATCGGATAATATCCCAGAAAGGAAAATGACAAATGTTGGCAGGCAGGGCTGTGGGAAAATTGAGGCACTAATACATTGTTGATGAAGTAGTATACTGATTCCACCATTCTGCAGAGCAATTTGGAACCATGCCCAAAGGGCTATAAAACTGTGCATACCCTTTGACCCAGCAATACCACTACTAGGTCTGTATCCCAGAGAGATTTAAAAAAAAAAAAAGGAAAAGACCTTTGTACAAAAATATTCATAGCAGCCTCTTTTACTGGTGACAAAGAATTGGAAGTTGTAGGGTTGTCCCTCAGTCATGACCAGACAAGTTGTGGTATCTGATCTGAAGGAATATTATTGTGCTATAAGAAATGATGAGCAGGATGCTCTCAGAAAAACCTGGGTAGACTTACATAAACTGATGCAAAGTGAAATGAGCAGAACCAGGAGTACATTTGACACAGTAACAGCAACATTGTAACAATTATCAACTGTGAATGTCTTAGCCATTCTCAGCAATGCAATGATCTGAGACAATTCCCAAGGACTTAGGATGAAAAATGTTCTCCACCTCCAGAGAAAGAACTGATGGAGTCTGAATGCAGATCAAAACATATTTTTCTTTAATTTTTTTTGTTTGTGTTTTCTTTTACAACATCACTAACATGGAAATGTTTTGCTTGACCACACATGTATGTATAACTTGTATCAAATTGTTTGCCAGCTCATTGAGGTGGAGAGGGGAGAGAGAGAAAGAGAATTTGAAACTCAAAAACATTTTTAAACGAATGTTGAAAATTGTTTTTACATGTAATTAGGTGAAAATAAAATATTAAATTTTTTTAAAAAGAAAGAAAATTGCCCTCTGGTTCTCTCAAGGACCCCACTGGAACTCAGGCCCCCTTCCCCAGACGATGTAAAGCCTCTTCATCGTCGTTTCCAACATGTCTAGCACAGATGCCTGCCTGAACATGTCACTCCTCTGTTCTAAGATCTGCTGTGGGTCTTCACTCCTGTGAAATGAATTCCATATGGATCCTCAGGCTTTCACGTGTGGACTGTCTTCTGTCACCTCTCCAGCCTCCTTCACACTGGTCCTGCGCCCACCCCACCCCTCCATCTGTCTTCTCTACTTGTCCTTTCTCCAGGGTGGGAGCCTTCAGGCAGCCTTCCTTGCTATCCACTCCCACCCTCCTCCCATTTCCCAGTACCCTTTGCCCTCTCCTGGCGTCTATATCCCAGTCATTTGTGCTTGTCATTCCCCTTCTCAACCGCATTAGATTATAAAATCTTTGTGGGCGGAGCTGTCTACTTCATCTTTAGGTCCTGGTGTAGTGAACAGGGATGTGTTAGGAGAGCCAGGTTCAAATCCCAGCTCCACCACTTACTGTGTGTAACCTTGGGCAACTCCGTTGACACTCCGGGTCTGTCCCCACATCTCTAAAATGAGATGTTTGGACTAAATGACTTCCAAGTTCCATTAAGCTCTCAATCTCAGACCCTAGGGTCCTCAGGATAGAGCAGAGCATAGGACCTGTCCACAGGTGACTCTTAGACGACATCCGTTGAATTTAGTTAAACTCAAGAGGGCCAAGATAAAACGGGAGCATGTGCCAGGCCCAGGACAAAGATACAGAAACAAGAAACGATGGAACACCTGTGAGAACAAAGCCTTGGGTGTGCTTGGCAGGTCGAGCAGGGGAAAGAGCACAGAGTTAGAAAGGTAGGCTGGAGGCCAGCTTGGAGGGCCTTGAATGCCAGGATCAGGAGCATGGCATTGGTGATGGGCCAGAGGAAGCTACAGCAGCTCTGAGGGGAGTGTCATGGTCAGACCTGCACATTATTACCTGAGAAGATGACCTGGGTGGCCCAGTGAAGGACAGGGAGGAGAGGGCAGAGGCTGGAGGCAGCTGCACAGTTAATCCCTTAATCTTAATTAGTTAGGTCCTTTGGAAGTACCTGACAGAGTCACCACAGGACTGAGCCCAGGGCCCAGGGCTCCTCCCTGTCCTTCCTGAGTGCCCAGCATAGGGCCTGTGTCTCCTCCCTCCCTGTTCCACCTTCAGTACCCAGCACAGGGTTCTTGTCTCCTTCCTCACTGTACCCACTCCATGTCCCACTCGCTTCTCAGCCCATCAGTCTGGCTGCTGGCCTCAGCATTCAGATGAAATGACTCTCCTCCAGGTTATCAAAGGTCTCTTCATTGCTAAACCCAAGGCGTCTGTCTCCACCCTCCTTAGCCTCTCTGCAGCCCTGGACGCTGTTGATCCCCCTTCCTCGGGGACACTCTCTCCTCTCTGGGTTTTCCCGACACCACTCACTCATTTCTGGTTCTACTACTGTCTGGTTGCTCCTTCTCCACCTTCTTCACTGGATCCTCGTCCACCACGGGTGGGGACTGAGCACACCCCGGTTCTCTGACCTGGGCCCTCTTATCTTCAGTCTTAGGGATCTCAGGAACTCCCCTGGGTTTCACAGATGTGGCACATGAGTCTTGGGGCCCCATCTTCAGCCTCACCTCTCTCCTGAGCTCCAGGCACGCCCGTTTCCAGCAGGATGTTCCGTAGGCATCTCAAACTCACAAGTGTCCAAAACGGTACCCCTCCCCTCCTCCCCACATTTCTCCTCTGCTCACCCCTCTCCCTCACACCTGTGATCACTGATACTTCCTTCCTAAGGCTTCTGGTGTCTGTCCCCCCTTTCCCAAGCCTGTACCGGTGACCTCTTTGAAGGTCTCTCTGCCTCCTGCCACCACATCTTTCTTCCGCCCGCCTACCAAAGCCCGGGCCTGACCATGGCATCGCCCAACCTTAGAAGCACCCTCCTGCCTCTCCAGGACTACACCCAGCCCTTCACACCCTAGCTCCTGGTGCATTTTCCAGGCACCATATGAACACTTTCTCTTCCAAGCAAACTGACTTTCTCGTGGTCTTCCACCCAGAGAATGCAGGTGGGTACTGAATTGGGGCTCAGACATCTGTTTGACTTTCCGCCTCCCTCATTCCCAGGGCTTTTCTGCAGGGCTCCCTGACCCTCCCAACCAGCCCCTACTTGCCCAACTCCTTCTTCTTAGCTGAGCCTCAGGGCCCTGAGTCGGCGTGCTGGCTGTCCTTCTGACATGCTGTGTGCCTTTCAGTCACACTCAGATGCCCTGCTCCCCTTGGCACCCCCTCAATGAGCAGACCCTGACAGCCGGCAGACAGACACATTTATTTCCTTGGCCCCATATCCACCCCCGATCCAGTTCTGAGAAAGGAGTCTCACTTCTCCTCTGAGAGCCAGACCTCCCACCCCCCCTCCCTGCCCAGACACCTGGGCTCCCATCATTCCAAGCCCTGGCTCAGCTAGAACCACTTCAGATCCGGGGACCCTTGGCCTCTTTGGGATCCTCAGGGGCTACTCCCATCTGGGGAATCACCTCCAGCCTTCACTGGACTCTGCCCAGCCCAGGGAATTGCTCTGGGTCTTCTTGGGGGCCGCTGGTTTGTTCCTGGTCTCCTGCGGGCCCCCCTGGAGCATCACTCTTGGTCTTCCGCAGGCCCAGCCCGGGACAGGTTCACGCTGGCCTGTACCAGGCAGGGAACCCGTGGAGGGTTTTCTGCAGGGTCCACGCGGGGAAGGCCTGAGCCAGGACCATCATTCTGGCTTTTCCTCCAGACCTTCTGAGGCCGCCTGGGCAGCGTCCTCCTCCTTCAGGCCTCCAGGAGCAAGGTCCAGGCTGGGGGACTTCTGGAGGTCTTCCTCAGCACCCGCCTGGGCAGGGTCAGGGCTAGGGGACAGCTCTGGGACCATGGCCTCCAGCCACGGCGGGTCCATGCCGGGGCCGGCGAGGGAGCTGGGAGAATCTGGGGGCTGCGGATGCTTGCGACGGGCATGTCGTCGTAGGGTGTTGCCCTCAGTGAAGCGAAGCCTACAGATGGGGCACTGATAGGGACGCTCGCCTGAGTGCACACGGCCGTGGTGGGCCAGCTCCCCGGCTTCACGGAAACGCCGCGGGCAGAGGGCGCAGTGGAAGGGCCGCAGGCCGGCGTGGATGTTTCGGTGCCTCCGCAGGTGGCTGGCCCGTTTGAAGGCCTTGCCGCAGGCCGGGCAGGTGTGTGGCTTGAGTTCCGAGTGTGAGATGCGGTGCCGTTCCAGGTCTGAGAAGTATGGAAAGGCACGAAGGCAGACGGGGCAGAAATGCGGGGCCCTCCGCGCCCGGGACCCCCCGCCCTCCTCATCTGCCTGGGGCACGGTGTACGGGACGCCCTGGGCGTCGATCAACAGGACGCCACCTCCGTCCTCAGCCTCCACCGCGTCAGGCGGCCCGGGGGCCTCAGGGGGCTCCCCGGGTGTAGAGCCTCGGGGCCTACCGCCCCGTTTGCGGGTGGAAGGGGAGAACGTCTGGCTGGAGGAGGAGTCGGCGGAAGAGTCCGCCCGCCCCGCGGGGGGGCGGCGGCGACGGAGGCGCACGCCAGGGGTATCTGGAGGAGGGCCGGAGGGCTCCGCCTCCTCGGTTGCCCGCTCCGGGCTGGAAGGGTCCATCGGGTGCTGGGGATTCGGGGCCCGTCCACAGGACCTAGGCTGGTGAAGGGAGAAAGGAGGCAGGGTCAGAGTTAGACGGAGGGCAGCAGAGAGACTGATGTGGGGAAAGGGGCCCCAGAATGGGGAGGCGGGAGATGTGGGTGGCCCTGACCAGCCGAGAGGCTTCAGACAAGGACTTTCCCTTCTCAGGCACTGTTTCTTAATCTGTTAGCTAATTGAGCAGCATTTTGAGGCTTCCAAGTTCTCGCCAGGCAGTTATCATCACAAAATGCTTCATACTCACGAGGGAGGCTCCACAGATGAGGAAACTGAGGCACACAGCAGCTAAGTGATTTGTGTGTGCTTATGCGGGGGAAGAGAAACCAAAAAGTCAGAAAGCTGGGGCCAGGCTGGGAAAGAAGAGGTCCAAGTGGGAGTCGGGCTGGGAAGGCTACAATTTGGAGAGAAGATTCTAGAGTAAGAGAGTAGAACGCGAGTATGAGGGACTAGATTTGGAGAAGGAGCCAAGTGATGGGGAGAAGGGGTTACACTGTGAGAGACAAGCCAGACCAGAGAGGAGGGAAAAGGGACCGGAGGGGAAGGTGAAGGAGTCGGAGTGGGAAAAAAAGCCTAGGTTGCCAGAGAAATGACCCGATTGGAGGAAGAATGGAGGATAAAGAGAGAAGGGGCAGCTAGGTGGCGCAGTGGATAGAGCACCAGCCCTGGAGTCAGAAGGACCTGAGTTCAAATCCCACCTCAGACACTTACTAGCTGTGTGACCCTGGGCAAGTCACTTAACCCGGATAGTGTTCAAAAAGAGAGAGAGAGAGAGACAGAGAGAAAGAGAGAACGAGAGAGAGAGAAAATAAGATTAGGGGAGAAGGGATGATATACGGTAAAGATGGAGAAGGTAACCAGTTTTGGGGGAGAAAAGACCAGACGAAAAGAAGAGGCCAAATTGCTGGAGTCTAGGGGGACGTGGGGCCATTTCAAGATGAGAAAAAACCAAACACATTTTGGGGAGAAGGGATCAGATGAGAGTGGGAAAGAGGCCAGACTGGGAGAGAGGCCGGCACTATTCTCTGCTGACAGGAGCTCACAGACCTGAGGCTATTTGGAGAAGCGCAGCTGGCCAAGACTACTGTCTTTGACAAGGAACCAAAGACTACCGGGGCATGGGCAGTCCGGGCCTCCCTACTGTCCACAGAGTGCAATCCGGAGATACAAAAAGCTAAGGAAGTGTCTGAGCTTTCCACTGTGGCTCGGATAGAGACATGGCAGGCTTCTTGGCAGGCAGGGATGGAGAAGACTCGGGCTGAAATGTGCTCACTTGCACAGTCTTGAGAAATCAAATGAAGGCAGCTCCCCCCTGACCAGGGAGTCACTGCCCTCGAGGCAGCCAGCCAGAAAGCCAGAGGCCCAGAAGGCAACCCAGGCAACCTAGGCTCAAACCCACGGCTCCAGGTGTCTCTGCCACAGTACACACAACAGAGAGGAGGCCGAACGGGGGAGTGAGTCAAGTTAGATTTCCTAGGGATCTAGGACACTGGGTAGGAGCAAATGTAAACCTGGACCACGGTTCTGCATGGCTACAGCTTAGTCAAAGATAAATAAAGAAGGCTGGGAAAAGATTTGCACCTTAAGAGGACAGATTGATGCCCTGGAGTCAGGAAGAAATCTGGCCTCAGACACTTCCTAGCTGGGTGACCCTGGGCAACTCACTTAATCACTGCCTGCCTCAGTTTCCTCAACTGTAAAATGGGGATCATAATGACACCTCCCTCCCAGGGTTACAAGGATCAAATGGGATGGTGTTTGTAAAGGGCTTAGTGGAGTGCCTTCAAGCACGGTGAGCACCTAATAAATGCTTATTCCAATCTTCCCCTAAGAGAACAGACTCATGTGAGACAACAGGATTGAGAAGGGAAGGCAGTGGGAGCGCTGATGGAAAGAGATCCCAGAAGCAGGACTGGCAGGGAGGGGGCCGCTCCTCTCACTCTCTGCCAAAGGGAGAAGAGCTCATAACTTGCCTCAATGATCATTTCCTTTTTCAAAAGGTAGGAGAACCAACGGAGAAAGAAAAGGGTTGCCTGAAGAGACTGATGTGGACGCACAGGACTCACCGACCAAACTGGATTTTAAACAGAACCTTAAGAAGGTAACCGAGGACAAAAACAAAAGTGTAAAAGAAAGGTGATAAAACATTTTAAGAAAACAGAACAGAGCAACTTTGTTGCTATGGCACTATAGTTAACACATACTTAAAAAGAACCCTCTACATCACCCCAGTTCTCAAGTTTGCAGACCGTCTTCTTTTTCTGTTATTTGTATACTGACATGTCTTTTTTTTTTGATGATTCAAAATTTCCTAGTGAAAAATGAGACATAATTCACTGATAATAATATCAGGAGTGCTAAAACTCAGACTAAGGATGGCAAAGAAAGCTAAGGACGACAAAAACTTGGTTTGGGCTTTTTTAAAAGTTATTTTGAATAAAGGAGAATAGAGACAAGACAGGACCACTTCTCTGGGTGGATGGAATCAAGATAAGTAACATTAAGGAGAAGGTACAGCTGAGTGATACTTTTTAAAATTTTTTGTTTTTATTTTCCCTGCAAAAGAAAATGACCTTGGCTCTGGGAAGGCCAGAACAGAAACAGCAAATTGGGAGTAGGCACTCAACCCAAGTAAGGCGACAGTTTGAAAGCTCCTGGCTTTCCAGTCCCCTGCCACTGATGACCATCACCCAGAGATCCTGAAAGAACTGGCAGATGGCAGTGCCCAGCCACTGTCAGTGATCTTTAAAAGACCACAGAGGACTGGAAAAGAACCCAAGAGTGGAGGAGGACCAACGTCATAGCCCCAGGCAGCTTGACTTTGTTTCCCAGGAATACTGTAGCACTCATCATTAAAGGGATGGCAGATGACAGGCTAGAAGAGGAAGCAGGGATTCCAAAGAACCAGCACGTTCTCAGAAAGGGGTGATGTCAGGTAACCTCATTTCCAATTTGGACAGGAATGCTAAAAGAAGAGCTTGGCAGAACCTCCCTGCTTATCTAGATTTTAATGAACCATTTGCTAAAGTCCCTCTTTCTATTCCTGAGGATAAAGTAGAGAGATAAGGGCTGGGGGATAGGATAATCAGACAGTATGGGACTCTGCAAATGGCCAGAGTCATTCACCTGGAGGGCCTTTAAAGGCCCCTGGTCCCAGGGGTTGGACAGCCAGAGCCAGCACTAACAACCCCACCAGCTAACAAAAAGCAAGGTGGGATGGCGACGGCTCAGGATCCAGAAAGACAAAAGCCTTGGGCTGAATCTAACAACGGGGAGAACTCCACCAACAATGAATGGCAAGCTTTGGATCTGGAGTCCAGACATCAGCTGCACAAGTACAAGGTGGGCAGCCAGGGAAGCCGGTTGAAAAGAGATCTGGGGGTCTAAGTGGGCCCCTGGCACTCCCCAGATAAGGAGGTGAAGGGCGGTGCCTCGGGGCCTTTCCCTGGAACTGTCCGCTGTGGGCATTGCCCAGAGGAGGGCACCTGGGAGGGGGAGGGCCCTGCACACCGGGGGATGGACAAGCCACATTGCTAGGGGGTCAGTCCTGGGGGGCAACGGGAGCAACTGGGGGGCGTGACCCTTTGGGGAGAGGGCACCCCTGCAGGGGGTGGGGGCCAGGTGAGTACAGCTGGAATGGGGTTCAAGATCCCTAGTACTGGGGCTGAAGGCAGTTCTGCCCCGCAGCCGGGTGAGCCCCTCCCCCCAACCCCGGCTCCCCTGGAGGCTGGGGGGAGGGGGAGGGGCAGGGGAGCGCGCGCGGGCACTTCGTTTCCTCGGGGCAGGGGCGTGGCGTGGCAGTGCGCACGCGCAGCAGAACCCCGCGGGCCCGCAGGGAGGGCGGGGTTTGGGCGGGCGCGCGCGCGCTGGGGCGGAAGGGGCGGGGCGCGGGGAAGTAAGCCAATGACTTTCGCAGGGTAGCCGGGCGCGAGTTGGGGGGAGCGGCGGGGGCGCGCGGGCGGGGGAGGGGGCCTGCAGGGCGCGCGCGGGCTGCTGCTCGGGGGCGGGGGTCGCGTGCAGTGGGCGGCCGAGCCCTCCCTCCCTCCTCTCCCCTCCCCCCGCTTCCCTCCCTCCTTCGGCCTCCCTTCCCCGCCCGCCGCCCCCTCCCCGCCCGGGTACCTCATTTGCATGTCGCTTAGGGGCGCGCGCGGGGGGCGGCGGGGAGGGCGGGAGGGCGGGCGCGTGGGCCAGGGCCCGGGGAGGGCGGGGCGGGGCTGGGGGAGGGGGTGGAGGCGGAGGCGGCCGCGTGACGCTACCGGCCCCGCCCCCTCCCTCACCCTCCCCGCGCGCCGGCCACAAAGGTGGAGGGAGGCCCTGACGGTGCTCGCGCGGTCTTAGCGCTCGTCTATCTCCTGGGCTTGGGGGGGGGCGCCTGCGCGCTGGTTTCGCCTCCCCTCCTGCCGGCCTACTCGGCGCCACGTGACTGTCGGAGGTCTGCGTGCCCATTGTAAAGGTGGAGAGGTTAAGGCCCAGAGAGGGTCCTTTTGCTAACACGTAACAACCAATGGGGGCGGTTCCAAGGTGGGAGCTGGAGAAGAGTCAGAAAGCGCTCAGTGGCCGGGAAAGCCCACCAGTGAAATAGCACTTAGAGATCTTCAGCTGAGGCCACCCAGGGAAGTTGCCGAGATCTCGGACTTGCCCCTTGGGGAGAGGTGCTTGGAAATCCTCGAGTGCCGCTGCACCCACTTAACAGGGAAATTGAGGGGCCTTGAAGCTGCGGGTGGGGGAAGGAGGGCTCTACAAGAGGGCTCAAGGACCAGCAGAAGCCCAGAGAGGGCCACGGCCCTACCCAAGGTCACACAGCACGCCCGGGCACGCGCCCTCCGACCCGGGGCTCTTGACGTCATCGCAGCCCCCGCTCCGGAGCTCGACCGGAAGTGATGGCATCGGATTGGCTTCGGGCCTGGGAAGGCCTGAGGCTCCCAAGATGGCTCCCGCTCCGACTTCACTGCCCACAGCCAAAATGGCGCCCGCAGAACTCTTAGCTCGTTGAGTCCAGTGCGGTTGCGAGGCAGGATGTTCCGGATGCTTCTGCCCTTAGCTAAGGTGGCGCTGAGGCCCCGCCCCGTCGCCCGCGCCCGCCCTCGTTAAAGATGGCTCCGAACCCTACTCCGCTTCTGTGCAGGCGCAACGTCTGAGGGGAGGAGGGAAGGAAGAGGGACCCGGAAGTCGAGGGGCCCCCCCGGGTGGAAGTGACGCCACCCCCGCGGCCCAAAATGTCGGCGCCCAGAGGGAGGTGTAAGTAATTAAAGGAGAGAGGGGCACGGCGCGGTCCGCGACCCCCCTGGAGCCCGGATGCCCTAGGACTCGGCCCCCTCCCGCGCCCCCCCGCCCCAAGGAGCCCGATGGATCGGCCCGGGCTGGCCCTACCGGGCCGCCGGTCCCCGGGGCCGCGGGGCTGCGTGGATGGGACCATTCATGGCCCGGCTGGGGGGGAGGGTGGAGAGGGGGCCCAAGAGGGACACAAAGGACGTGGGGGAGGGGGGCCTTCGGTAGGGCCGCGTGGGGGCGGGACTTGGGGGAGGGGGGGCTCCAGCGCCTAGTGGGGGGCTTTGTGGGGGAGGGGAGGAGCTTGAAAGGGGGAGGGGTCTCACAGGGAAGGGGTGGGGCTGGAACTGGGGAAGGGGGATGGCTTAGGGGGTGGGGAGGCCCTCGGAAGTGGGTGGGGCTAAAGGGGAAAGAGGATCTTAGGTGAGAGGGGTGGTACTTAGGAAGGAAGGGGGCTCTCGGGAGTGGGAGTAGCTTAGAGGAGAGAGGCGGGGCTTAGATGGGAAGAGGTGGGGCTTGGGGGGGCGGAGGAGGTTAGAAGTGGGTGGGGTTAAAGAGGAGGTCCTTGGGAGGGGTAGAGCTTGGAAGTTTTGGGGGGTATCTCATAGAGGAGAATGGGAGGTCCTTATAGAAGGGGTGGGGCTTCGGGGTTGGGGCTTATAAAGGGGGGGTGGTCCTTAGGAGTAGTAGGGCTTAGAAGAACGGCTGAGTCTTGGAAGTTTTGGGGGGCGTATCAGGAAGAGTAGGAGGTCCTTAGATAAGGGGTGGGGCTTAGAACAGGGGTGGAGCTTAACCAGGAGAGGGGACAAGCTGAGGCTTTTTTTGGGGGGTCTCATAAAGGAGAGAGCAGGTCCTTAGCACTCAGAAGGGGGGGTAGAACTGCAGCCCAGGACCCTGTAAGCTGGAAACCATTTCTTCCGTCTCTCCTTCCCCAGAGATGCCCCAGGCAGGGCACGTGTGGACCGTCAGCCATGGAGGACAGCGGTGTGGACGGTCCTCTCCCTGCAGCTGGCCCGGCCCCAGCACCGACCCCGACCCCTCCGGTGGCCCCCCGGGTACCCTTCCACTGCAGCGAGTGCGGAAAGAGCTTCCGCTACCGCTCGGACCTGCGGCGCCACTTTGCCCGCCACACGGCTCTCAAGCCCCACGCATGCCCCCGCTGTGGCAAGGGCTTCAAGCACAGCTTCAACCTGGCCAACCACCTTCGCTCGCACACCGGGGAGCGGCCCTACCGCTGTTCTGCCTGCCCCAAGGGCTTCCGCGACTCCACGGGCCTTCTCCACCACCAGGTCAGGAACTGGCCTCTCTTCCCCAGCACTTTGGGCCAGTCTGTTCTTGCTTTCCCAGCAGTGGAATAATGGGGGTCCTTGGGAGCAGGGCCTTGTTCAGGGCTAACGGGTGTGATTCTGTCCTCTTGCCCTCTTTTTCAGGTGGTCCACACAGGTGAAAAGCCTTACTGCTGCCTGATCTGTGAGCTCCGCTTCTCCTCGCGATCCAGCCTAGGCCGTCACCTAAAACGGCAGCACCGGGGGATGGCCCCACCGACCCCTGCGGGCTTGGGCCCGTCTGGCTTAGTGCCTGGCCTCCTTCCTACCCTGGGGCCCCCCGGTGGCCTCTCAGTCCCAGGTCCGTCCTGTAGCGCCTGCTCTGATGAGGGCCCCTGCGTGGCCTGCGGGGGTGGCCCAGAGCCTCCTGGCCCTGGGCCAGGGCCCTGGGTGGGCGGCTGGGGGACTGGTGGGACAGGCCCCTTTGTCTGTGGGGCCTGTGGCCGCTGCTTCCTGGCAGGAGCTGAGCTGGCCGCCCATTGGGCTGCTCACACAGATGTGAAACCCTTCAAGTGCCCACGTTGTGAGCGCGACTTTAATGCCCCGGCCCTGTTGGAGCGCCACAAGCTCACCCATGATCTCCAGGGTTCCTGGCCTGGGCCTGAGGGCAGGGAGGCGGGGCTGGAAGTTCCCGAAGGGCCCCAGGAGTTTCCCTCTGAGGATTTACAGGAGTTCCCTGAGGAGGGGCCCCAGGAGTTTCCTTCTGAGGGGTCCCACGAGTTCCTTTCTGAGGAGCCCCAAGAGTTCCCTCAAGAGGAACCCCATGAGTTCCCTGAAGAGGATCTCAATGAGTTTCACCCTGAGGGGTCCCAGGAGTTCCTTTCTGAGGGGCCCCAGGAGTTCCCTCTGGAGGTACCCCCGGAGATGTCCCAGGAGGACCCTGTGGAGATACCAGAGGAAGTATCCCAGGAGTTACCCGGGGAAGTGCCCATAGAGGTATGCCAGGAATTACCTATGCAGGTACCTGGGGAGGAGTCCCAGGAGGGGCCCCCTGATCCAGACCTGGAGGCCCCGTTCCCCGTGGCCGCTGAGCTGGGCGAGGCCTCAGAGGAGACCCTGTACCAGTGCGACTGCGGGACCTTCTTTGCCTCAGCAGCAGCCCTAGCTGCTCACCTGGATGCCCACTCAGGCCCAGCTTCCTGCGTCTGTGGGGTGTGCGGGGCGGTCTATGGGGCGGTAGCAGCCCTGGAGGAGCACCACCACGGGAGCCACGGGGCTGGGCCTTCTCCAGGGGGGCCCCCAGCCGGCTCTGGCCGTACCCCAGCAGCTCTGGCAGCAGCAGCTGCTGGGAAGAAGGTGTTCAGCTGCTCTGAGTGTGAGAAGCTCTTCCGTTCCCCGAGGGACCTGGAGAGGCATGTGCTGGTCCACACCGGGGAGAAGCCCTTCCCGTGCCTGGAGTGCGGCAAGTTCTTCCGGCATGAGTGCTACCTCAAGCGTCACCGGCTGCTGCACGGGCCAGAGAGGCCCTTCCCCTGCCATGTCTGTGGCAAGGGCTTCATCACTCTTAGCAACCTCTCCCGTCACCTGAAGCTACACCGAGGGATGGACTGAGCAGCCCCCTGTCCTGGAGAGCCTCCTGGCCTGAGTGGGAGGACCAAGGGAACCTTGGAATTGGAGGGGGAGAGGGCTTCTGGTCCGGAGGGACCCCCGAGCATGAGGGTAGTCAGGGACATTGGACAGGGGGAGGAAAATGGAGAGCTGAGGAAGCCTTGGGACCCAGCCCTGGGTCAGGGAAGACCCTGAGACCCTTGGCCCCTGGCAGAGCCTCCTGTCCTGAGAGAGCCCTGGGACACATCCAACTGGTTGTGGACCTTGCCTTCTTCACTCTCCAGGAAGGGCCCTCCGACCCAAGCCAACCCCCAAAGGAAGGAGGATGGGACAGGGACTCCAGAGAAGGGGCTGAGCCTGGTGCCCCTGCCGCCCTCAGAGCTCCTGTGGGCTGTGCTCTTTGACACCCCCCTCATGCAAGGTGGACTGCTCTGAATGGACAGAACCGATCCGGATAAGGCTTTCACCTCATTCCCCCTTCTCCCATGGACCAGTCTAGAGGCTGTCAACCTTACCCCTTAGAATGAATTAACCAAGTTTGTCCTTTATGTAGAATGTGGACTGGTTCACATCCCCACCGCCCTCCCTCTTTCCCCATGCCTCCCACTCCCATCCTTCCCACAAGGAATGGGCTTCCTCCCACCCTGGGAATACCCCCTTGTCTCCTCTGTGGGTTTTGGGTCTCTCTCTGTCTCTCCCATTTGTGTCTGTCTCTGTGTCTCCCCCCCAGGCCGGTCCCCGAGGACAGGGATGACTCATCTGGAGGTCCTCCTGTGTGAGCATCTGCTTGCCTCCTCTCCTTCCCCACGTCCTCAGGACCCTCAATAAACTGGCCTGACATTTACTCTGGCTTGCCTTGGTCTGTTGGGAGGGGCCTGATTCATAGAGACAGGAGCCTGACCTTAGCAGCAGCAGTAGGCCGCCATGGTCTCCCATAATGTCACTGGGAAATGCTCTGCACGTTGGTATCCCCATTTCACTGCTATCCCCCAGCTCATGATTAGAGGAGGCTAGATTTGAACCCTTGTCTATGCTGGCTTCAGAGGCCTGAGCTGAGGTCCTTAGAAAGATTCACCCCTAGGGATAAGGGCAACTCTCCTGTTCTTAGAGACTGGAACTTGTGTTTTGAAATGCAGATCCTGCTCTTGAGCAGACCGCTTTCAGGGAAAGCCCCCTTCTGTTAGAAAGTATAATACAAAGATAAGGAGAAATTCTTGCCTTCAAGGAGCTCATGATCCGGGGAGGCAGGTAGAGGGGGGAAGGTGGAGGCCTTAGGTTCTTTTCCTACCTGCTCTGTTTACTCCCCATGTGACTTTGAGCCCCTCACTCATCCTCCTTGGGTCTCAGTTTCCTCCTCTGTAAGAAGAGGCAGAAGTATTGTGGCCTTCACTATTGAAACGGGAAAGAGCTCTTCATCTGGAGTTGGGGTGTGGGTGCAAGCTATGGGGCTTAGCTGTGTTGACCACACAGTAAAATTCGTGTGTCCACTGGTAAACTTACTAGCCTTAGCTTCCTTGTCTGAAGGTCCCTTCTGGCCCATAGAGGTGTCTGGCTCCGCTCAGAGACACTAGTTGCCCTAGATGCCAGGACAGGGAGTAGTTGCTAAGAGGTAAATTTCAGTTGGGTCAAGAAAGCCTTCCTAGCATGGTTGTCCCTAAGTGGACAGCTGTTTGGGGAGGTATAGAGCGCCTCTCAAGTCAAGTCAATAAGCATCTATTAAGTGCCTACTATGCCAGGCATTAGGTTAATTAATGGAGCACAGAGAAAGGCAAAAGACAGCTGCTGTCCTCTCAGAGCACACAATCTGCAGGAGACAAATGCCAGAAGGCATCAGAACAGAGATTGGGAAAGGTTTCCTGGAGAAGGTAGGGTTTTAGCTGGGATTTGAAATGAGAACCTGAAGGTAGAGATGAGGAGGAAGAATGTTTCAGGCATGCGAGACAGCCTCAGAGATAGAGGGTCTCGGGTCAAAACGTCCTTGGGGAAGGGGATGCAACGTGTCAGAAGAGTGGAAGAGTAGGAGGAGGCTGAGTTGTAAAGGCTTTGGATTGCCTGGCAAAGAATCTGCGGTTTCATCTTGGAGGTGGGGGAAGGGAGGTGGTGTGGTCATACCTTTAGGAAGATCCCTTTAATCACTGAATGGAGGATGCCAAAGAGAGATCAGGCAGGCAGGCAATGCCCACCGCAGGCTATGGTGATAGTCCAGACTGGGGCGAGGTGGGCCTGCACCGGGGTGGGGGCAGGGTCAGAGGACACACGCTGCAGAGGTGAAATAGGCAGTCCTCAGCACCATATTGGATATTGGGGGGGTGAGAAAGAGTGAGGAGTCCAGGATGATCCCGGGGTTATAAGCCTGGAGGTTGGTGGTGTCCTCAACAGTAATAGGGATGTGGGGGTGGGGGGGAGACGAGTTCATGGACATTCAGTTGAGATGTCTAGTAGGCGGCTGGAGATTTGAGAGCAGAAGTCATCAAAAGAGGTTGGGACGGATATATTTGAGAATTATAGAGATGATCATTAAATGCACGGACGTTGATGAGATCACCAAGTGAAGTGGTCTAGAAGGAGAAGAGGGCCCAGGACAGAGCCCAGTGGGACAGTAGTGTTCGCAGATACCACCCGGCTTAAGGTCCAGCAGAGCCAGTGAGAAGAGGCGTTCCTAGGCAAGAGGAGAGAGAAGGGAGGATCACAAGAACGAGGACTGGGAAAAGACCACGAATTTGGCCGTTGGGAGATCACTGATAGCTGGAAAAAGGCAGCAAAGGTCCCCTGTCCCCAGGCGCTCGCAGTCAAGTGGGGGGAAGAGACCACGTGCAAACACCTGCCTACATACAAGATGGACGCGGGACGGATGGGGGGGGCAGTCTCAGAGCAAAAGCAGCAGCACTTAGGGGCCGGGGGAAAGGCTCCCTGCGGAAGGCGGGGCTGCAGCTGGGCCTTGGAGGGGGGGCAGGGAGGAGGAGGGAGAGTTCTGGGCATGGGGGGTGGCATTCATTGGGAGCAGAAGTGAAAAGGAAGGGACAGATTCGAGGGAGACCGTGGGGGCAGAACTGTCAGGACTCGGCCATGAATGGCCGGGAGGGTGGGGGGAGGCAAGGGACAAAGGGTCCTCTGAGCTCCTAAGCCGGATTGCCTGGGTGCAAGGCGGTGCCATCCGCAGCGGGGAGCGAGGGGCCGGGCGGCCATCCGAGAAGCTGCCCTGCGCGCTACGTGGACGTGGGGGGAGGCGCGGAGCCCGCAGCTCCATTCACTGGCTTTGGAAGGAGGCAATGAGAGGCTCATCCCCGGAGGTCCCCCAGGGAAGGTGCGGCCGCTCTAGGCCGGCACATTGCCCAAGGCTTGGGTGTTCAGAAGAGGACTAGAGCTGCTTCTTCGCAAAACAGGACCCAGCCCCTCCCCCAACGACTGAGCGACAGGCCCCGCCCCTTGGAGACCAGACCCGCCCGCCCCAGGGGTGAAGCCATCTTCTCAGAGCCGAGCGGGGCTTAGCGACAGGCCCCGCCCCTTAGCGACAATCCCCGCCCCTTGAAGCCCAGACCCACCCCGGGGGTGAAGCCATCTTAGAGCCCGAGCCTTTTGCTTAGAGACAGAGCCCGCCCCCTAGCGTTAGCTCCCACCTCCTTAAAGACGGGGTCCACCCCCTTAAAGACCAGACCCGCCCCAACGGGGAAGCCATCTTCTTAAAGCTCGAGCCCTTCCCTTAGAGATAGGCCCCGCCCCTGAGGGGGGGAACATTCCTCGGAACCCGAGACCCCCCCCACTTAGCTGCAGGCTCCGCCCCCGGCCTCTGCACGCAGGCGTTCTCGAGCCCCTCTCTGGGGTGTGGCCCGGGCGGGCGCGGGCCTCGAGCCCCCCCTTCCTCCCTCCTCCACCCACCCCCAGCGCGCCGGGGGCGGGGCCGCGCTTGCATCCGGGGAGCCGGAAGAGAGCGGCGCCCCTCCCCCGCCCGCCCGGCGCGGCCCTCCCCCGCCCCACCCTCCCCCGTGTCAGCGTCCGTCCGTCCGTCCGTCCGTCCGCCCGTCCGTCCGTCCGCGCGCGAGGGAGGAGGCCCCGAGGCCGGAGGGAGCGAGGAGGAGGTGAGACAGCGCGGGGGGAGGGGGGCCCGAGCGCGCCCCCGCGACGCCCCCTCCCCCGCCGCGCGCGCCGCCGCGAGCCGCCCGCCCCGGGGGAGGGGGGGGGGTCTGTGCCTGGCCCCGGGCGTCTGTGCACGAGCGGCGTCTGCAGCGCTCAGGGCGTCTCTGCTGTCTCTGTCGTCTCTGCCATCTCTACCGTGCTTGTGTGTCTCTGTCACTGTGTGTCTGGACGTGTGTGTCCCCCTGCCCCCTCCTCCCCTGCTCCCCTCCGCTCCTCTTGCCATCCTTCTGCCCCTCCCCTCCCCCTCTCCGCTCCCTCCATCCCTCACCCATCTCTACCTCCTCCTCTCTGTCTCCTTTTTTTCTCTTCCCTCTCTCTTCTCTCTCTATCTCCCTCCCTCCTTCCTCTCTCCCTCCCTCTCTTCTGTCTCTCCTTTCTTCTCCCCTCACTCCCTCCCTCCTTCCTCTCACCCTCTCTCCCCCTCTCCCTCCTCTCTCCCTCTCTCTCCCCCTCTCTCCCTCTCCTCTTTCTCCCCCATTTCTCTATTTCTCTATATTGCATTCCCTGACTCTCTCACCTGCACTCTGACCCCGCCCCCTTCTGGGCAGCTGGTGACCACCCCGGGCTTGGAGTCCCCAAGGCCAGAGTCCAGATATGGCCCCAGAACCTTATTAATGATCCTCGGGATCCCGGGCAAGTCACTTCGCCTTTATCTGCCTCAGTTTTTTCATCTGTCAAATGAGGATGGTAATAGCATCTACCTCTTAAGGTGGTTGTAAGGACCAAATGAGCTAACATTTGTAAAGCACTTAGCACATAGTAGGTGCTATGTAAGTGCTTATTCCTTCCCTTTACCTTTTGCCACCCCTCTCCCCCTCCATTTTTCTCTCTGTCTCTCCTGTCTCTCTCCCCCTCCATCTCCTCCCCTGTCTTTCTCTCTCTGTCTCTCTTCCCTCTCCCTGCCGTCTTTCTCTCTGTCTCTTTTCCCCTCCCTGTCTTTCTTTTTCTGTCTCTTTCCCTCTGTCTCTCCCTCCCTTCTCTCCCTTCTCCCATCTTTGTGTGTCTCTGTCTCTCTCCCCCTCCATCTCCTCCCCTGTCTTTCTCTCTCTGTCTCTTTTCCCTCTCCCTGCCATCTTTCTGTCTGCCTTGGTCTCTCTCCCCCTCCATCTCCTCCCCTATCTTTCTCGCTCTGTCTCTCTTTCCTCTCCCTGCCATCTTTCTCTCTCTTTTCCCCTCCCTCTCTTTCTTTTTCTGTCTCTTTCCCTCTGTCTCTCCCTCCCTTCTCTCCCCCCTAGTCTTTGTCTCTGTCTGTCTCCCCCTCCGTTCCCTCCATCTATCTCCCTCTGTCTTCGCCTTCTCTCCCTCACCCCTGTCTTTCCCTCTCTGTCACTCTTCCCCTCCTTGCCCACCTCACTCCCTCACTTTTCTCCCCCCTTCTCTCTCTTTTCCTGTGGATCTCGTTGGCTCCCCTCCATCTCAGGCTGTGTCTGGGTCACCCCTGCCTCTTAGCTGTCCCTGTGTGTACATCATGCCTCTTTCTCCTTCTTTCCCTGTAGGTATGGACCCCCAGCCTCCTCCGCCTGCCCCAGGCGCCTCTCCTCGGGGTCGTGGCCGGGGTCGGGGCCGGGGCCGGGGCCGTGGACGGGGCCGAGGCGGCGGAGCTGCTCCCAGGGCCCCTCTGCCCTGCCCCACCTGTGGCCGCCTCTTCCGCTTCCCCTACTACCTGTCCCGTCACCGGCTCAGCCATTCGGGCCTGCGCCCCCATGCCTGCCCCCTGTGCCCCAAGGCCTTTCGTCGGCCAGCCCACCTGGCCCGGCACCTGCGAGGCCATGGCCCTCAGCCGCCTCTGCGCTGCGCGGCTTGTCCGCGCACATTCCCAGAGCCGACTCAGCTGCAGCTGCACCTGGCCCAGGAGCACGGTGGCAGTGGGGAGCCAGGAGGGGCCGAGGCGCTGGGGAGCCAGGAGCCCGCGGCAGAGCCGGCCCCAGCCCCCGGGCCTCCTGAGGATGCCCAGGAGGAGGCGGCTGAGCTGGCTCGGGCAGCGGCTGGCCGCGGGGAGGAGAAGGAGGTCCTGCTCCAGGCCGACTGGACCCTGTTGTGCCTGCGCTGCAGAGAGGCCTTCCCCACCAAGGGGGAGCTGAAGGCCCACCCATGCTTGCGGAGCTCGGGGGGCCGGGTGGGCCCCGATGGGGAGCCTGGGCCCCCGCCACGGCCCAAGCGCCACCAGTGCCCCGTCTGCCTCAAGGCCTTCGCCAGGCCCTGGTCGCTGTCCCGACACCAGCTTGTCCACTCCCCGGACCGGCCATTCGCCTGCCCAGACTGTGGCCTGGCCTTCCGCCTGGCCTCCTACCTCCGGCAGCACCGCCGGGTGCATGGCCTGACCCTGCTGGCGCCTGCCCCGGCCCCTTCTCGGTCCGACAAGGAGGAGAGAGGCGTGGGCGGCGCCTCTAAGGGATGGACCTTTGCCAAAGGGGCAGAATCCCAGGGGCAGAACGGAGAAGACGGGGCAGGCCGTGAGGGAGAACGGGCCTCGGGCCCTGGGCCCGGGGAGGAGCCACCTCCGCCCCCGCCACCACCCGTGGAGCCCCGATTCCGGTGTCCGGAGTGCGGCAAAGGCTTCCGGCGGCGGGCCCACCTCCGCCAGCACGGCGTCACCCACTCGGGAGCCCGGCCTTTCCAGTGTGTCCGCTGCCAGCGGGAGTTTAAGCGACTGGCAGATCTGGCCCGTCATGCCCAGGTGCATGCGGGGGGCCCTGCCCCACACCCCTGCCCCCTGTGCTCTCGCCGCTTCTCCAGGGCCTACAGCCTCTTGCGGCACCAGCGGTGTCACCGTGCCAAGGTGGAAGGGGCCGTGAGCAGGGCCACGCCTGCTGCGGAGGAGGCGGCCCCGGCTCGGGTGGAGACAGTCGGTGATCCCCCTTCTCCTCCCTCTCCCTCTCGGACCCCTCCTCCAGCCCCTGCATACCTCAGCGCCTCCTGCTTTGACAGTCAGGACCACTCAGCTTTTGACCTGGAGGAAGAAGAAGAGGGGGGCCTGGGGGGGGCAGGGGGGGTGCCCTCCTGACACTCAGAATCCTCCAAACTTGTTTTATGGCTGCCCCAATCCCCTCTACCCCCTCTCTGAAATGAAACCCACCCTCTAGGTTCCAACAGTGGAAGAAGGAGCAAGATTGAGGTGGGGGTGTCTCCCTGGGGAGACTGCAGAGAGTTCTGGACCCCTACACCCTCCCCGCCATTGCAGGATACATCTCCCACCCCGCACTGACCCAGAGTCCCACCCTGTTGCCACCCCCAGGATGACAGGTGGGGTCCACCTTCCAGCTGAGGCAAATGATGGGGAAATCCTTGACCCTCTGCCCACACCCAGTCCTTCCATGTTTCTTGTCTGCTGGGGGAGAGTAGAGTGAAGGGGGTCCCAGAGTGTGGGCTGGGGATGGGTGTTTCTGTTCCCCTTGTCTGTCTATGAATAAACGCCACTGTGGAGCCCAGAGGAGCCAGGCCATGGGGCTCTGTGTGAGTGTGTGTGGGGGGGTGGTCGGGGAGGGCCAGGGTGGGCAGGAGAAGACATGGGGTGAGTCTCCCAAAGCCCTGCTGCAGGTGGGTTTCCTGCCCTCTGATTTAGGAAGCCTTTATTAAACATCTGTCAGCTAGGCATTGTGTGCATTGGAGATAAAAAGACAAAAGTGTGGAATATTTCCTGTCCACAGGGAATTTACAATCGACTTTTATGAAAATGGTGACTGCACCTGAGCCTCCAGCCTCCCTGCAAATCCATCTTCACATCTTCATTCAGTCCAGGCTGGAGGCCAGGCTTTTACCCCTGCCCAGCCCGAAAACTCCACCAGGCATGGGATTCAGAGCTTGGTATTTACAAACCCCAACTCCCCTCTAAAGGCAGGCAGATATCACAGAATGAGATGGCTGGGCTGGGCTGGAACCAAGGTGCCCCATGCTGCCTGCCTCATCAGTCTCTGGACAAGCCCTCGGGAGCTCAGGCTCATGCCCTTTCAGGAGCACTTTCAGCCTAGACTACTCGGAATGTCAGACTCAAATGACCCCTTTATGCAGGGCAGGGGTGAGAGAGGAGATGCTTTACCCAAGGTCAAACGACCTTGAGCAGGGGCTGCTGTGAAAAACAAGGCCTTGGGAGCGCCCAGGAGAAAGCCTGCTTCTCTTGGGCCCCCAGAAGGCTTGGCATCCAGGGCCAGGGGTCAAAACCCGAGTGGGGCGATCCTAGGGAGCTTGTGTGGCTAAAAGGGGAGGTGCAAAGCCAGCTCTGGATCCCAGTGTCTTCCTGGCAGAGGGAAGGCAGGGGGCCAAGGCCTCCTGGGCTGACTCGACACGGCTGGGACCCAGGTGTTCAACACCCCTAGCCATGAGTTTTCGGTGCCTGTCAACAGCTTCCCACAACTTAATCTTCTCCTGTCCAGACTGGGGAGCTGAGGGGCCGGGGGCTGGGTTCAGCACCAGGCTCTGTCCCTGAGGAGCTCTGCCCACTTCTAGTACCTTCTTACAGGAAGCCTTCCCAGCTTGCCTTCCCTAGGCTTCAGGGAAGGGTGTCTGGGTCTCCATGGAAGCAGTGGCTACAGCCCAGGTAGCTAGGTCCATTAGTGGGGATATCCAGGGTCCAAGGGGAGGCCTCTGCTCCTTCCTGTGCCCTGGCCCCCAGGGGTTCACAATATGTTTTGTCCTATCTCAATCCTGTCCTGGGAAGGGAGCCCGGGATGTGGGCCAAGCTAAGTTTGGAAGGGGTAGGGGGGGCTGAGGGTCAGGGGGGGGTAAAGAAGGGGGCGGGGGCCACACAACTCTGTCACCAACTTGGCCCCATACACACCCCTGAACAGTCAGCGGGTGGAGAGACAAAGAAGACAGGCGAGACCCACACTGATAAGAGACAGTGCTAGACAGAAGCAGGGAACAGCTCTAGAATGATAAAGGCAGAGAAGAGACTTGGAAACGGAGGCTAATGACACCCAACGAGAGTGGAGAGCAGAGACACAGAAAGGGACAGAAGTGGAGGGGGAGAGCGAGATCCAGGTTGATAAGAGACAAGGGCAGAAATCCCACAAGGAACTTAGATCAACAGAGACAGAGCAAGGCAGACACCCTTAGAAAAGAGATCCAGACTGAAGAACTAGTACAGGTAGATGTCCAGCCTTGGCTACGGGGGAGATACTGAGACCAGGAATCAGAGAACAGACAGACTCACGCTGGTAGAAACAGGAGAAGAGACAGGCTGTCTCTCCCTCTCTCCTGTCCTTTCTCCCTCTTTCCTTCCTTTCTCTCTATCCTCCCCCCTCCCTTCTCTCTCTTTCCTCTTGTCTCTGTCTTTTGTCTCTCTTGTCTTTCTCTCTGTCTCTGTCTCTGTCCTCCCTTCTCCTTCTCTCTCCCCTCCCTTCTCCCTCTTTCATCTCTCTCTCCCCTGCCTTCTCCCTCTTTCTTCTCTCTCTCTCTTTCTCTCTCTCTCTCTCTCTCTCTCTCTCTCTCTCTCTCTCTCTCTCTCTCTTTCTCTCTCTCTCTCTCGCACACACAGTGAGAACTGACCGACTGACAGAACAAGGACAGAAACTAAAAAGGAGAGTCAGAGAGACATACAAAACATAGAGACACCCAGAGAGATAGAGGAGAGAGACACAGAAGAGACTGTGAGACAAGCCAAAGTCCAAGAGAGATTCAACAGAGGAAAACAGAGAGAAGAGATACCTGCAAAGAGAAAGGGAGCAGAAACAGAGAAAAAGTTCTGCGTCAGTGACGGAGCCTGAAAAAGAGACCAGAGAAGAGGCGAGACAGAGACAGAGGGCTAGAGAGAGAGTCAGAGACAGAGTGGGGAGTGGAACGGCCAGAGGAGGCAAGCACCCCAGAGGGAGGGTCTTCCAAGGCACAGCACCCAAGGCGACCCTGAGATGGAGAACGGAGAGCAAGAGCCCTTCGAAGATGGGGACTTGGAGGTGAGCGATGTGGGGGAGTAAAGGAGAGGCAGAGAGAGCAAATCAAAGAAATGAGAGAAAGGTAGAGAAGGAAACAAGTGGAGAGCTTCAGAGAAAAAGACAAAGAGGCGTCTGCAGAAAGAAACATGGAAACAGAGAGGAGCTAGAAAAAGGAACAGAAGCAGAGATTTGAAGACACCAAAACAGAGAATAAACTGGAGACACAAGAAGGGGAACAGAAGGAGAAAGCTGGGAGAAAGGGCAGCGGGTAGGATTTGGGGAGGGCTGGTGGCCGGCTGCCCCCATAAGGTCCATTGGGGTGAACCTTGGGGAGCCACATGAAACGGTGCCTGTTCTCCGAGGCTCAGGGACAGGTGGGCCAGTCCCTCAGGATGACTCACTGTGAGTCACCAACCCCACCCTATGACACTGACCCAATTGTTGACCCTTGGTCTCCCCTTTAGGACCCTCTGCCCCCTCATCTCTTGACGGGGTCTCTAACCTGATAGGAAAAAAACACTTCCCCAAAATTAGACCATCCCAAATTTCAGCAGGCTGCCCAGAAGGTAGTGAGTTCCCCACAACTGGAAGTATTCAAGCAGAGGCTGGATGACTTCTGCTCTTTGGTGATGGGGACTCATTTAGAGGGACATGAATTTAGGCAGATCTCCTCCCTCTGAGATCTGAAGTTCTGTTACGGCCCCTCCCGTACCTTCCTGTTGGGTCCTCTGGCTTGAGACCTCCCAGACCCCAGAACTGCTGAGTCTGCCAGATAAAAAGAAAGCTTAGAGGTCATTCAATCTGCCCTAATTTTACAGACTTGGAAACTGAGGCCCAGAGAGGTTAAGTGACCTACCCAAAGTCACCCAGTGAGTCACTGGCGACTAGACACTCAGGCTTTCTCTCTCTCCCTCCCCTGCCCTCCCTGCCTGCCTCCCTCCCTTCTTCCTTTCCCACCTCTTCTCTGTCTGTCTCTCTTTGTCTCTTCCCCCTCCCTTCCCCCACCCTGTCTGTCTCCCTCTGTCTCTGTCTCTCCCCTCCTCCACCTTCTCCCACCCTGTCTGTCTCTGTCTCTATCTGTCTCTCCCCCCCAACCTTCCCCCACCGTGTCTCTCTCTGTCTGTCTCTCTCCCCCACCTTCCCCCCACCCTGTCTCTGTCTCTGTCTCTCCCTTCCTCCACCTTCCCCCATCCCTGTCTGTCTCTGTCTCTGTCCCCCCCACCTTCCCCCATCCCTGTCTGTCTCTGTCTGTCTCTGTCTCTCTCCCCCCCACCTTCCCCCATCCCTGTCTGTCTCTGTCTCTCCCCTCCTCTACCTTCCCCCATCCCTATCTGTCTGTCTCCCCCCCACCTTCCCCCATCCCTGTCTGTCTCTGTCTCCCCTCCTTCACCTTCCCCCATCCCTGTCTGTCTCTGTCTCTCTCCCCTCCTCCACCTTCCCCCATCCCTGTCTGTCTCTGTCTCTCTCCCCTCCTCCACCTTCCCCCATCCCTGTCTGTCTGTCTGTCTCCCCCCACCTTCCCCCATCCCTGTCTGTCTCTGTTTCTGTCTCTGTCTTTGTCTCCCCCACCCCGGACCCCACACCCCACTCTCCCCTTAGGAGGACCCAGCATTAGCCCTCCAACGTCTCGTTGATCTCACAGCCAGTAGGGTGACTCCTGTTCGGACGCTGAGATCCTGCTACCGGCTGGTCCAGGAGCTGGGTGCTGGCACGTATGGCCGTGTCCTCCTGGCCCAGCCCCGTCGAGGGGGTGAGCTGGTGTTCAGGGTGTGGGGGTCCTCCCTAAAACCACAATTAGTCAGAGCCCACGGTGCTCCCCATGGGCGTGGGAACACAAGAGGTAGGGGGTCCATAACCCCCAGCATAGGGACCAAGTTTCTGCCCCCCCCCGACTGTTCCGGGGAGCTATAGACCCTCAGGGGCCAAATGAGTGCTCATGTAGCAATGGTAAGTCCCAACCTTCTTCCACAGAAGAGGAAGCTGGGGCTGAGCAGAAACGGGCCACAAGTTACTTGCCTAATGTCCTACATCGAGTCAGGCCCAGAGCCCAGAGCTGGACCCAGGCCCAGGGGCCTCCATCCCCAACAACCCCTCCTGTTGTCCTTTCACCAAGGTCCACCTGTCGCCCTGAAGCTGCTCCCACGGGCCTCTGCATCCTGGGCCACCTTCCTTCGGGAGTTCTGTGTGGGTCGCTGCGTATCCTCGCATCCGGGCCTGCTCAGCACCCTGGCCCCACCACTGCAGAGCCCCCGCCACTATGCCTTTGCCCAGGAGTTTGCGCCCTGTGGAGACCTCAGTGGAATGTTGGAGAACAGGGTAAGGAAGGCACACAAGGTGGAGGAGCTGGGGGTCAGGGTGGAACACAAGCTTGGAGCCAGGATGGCTTATAGATGAGTGCAGGGCTTGGGAGAAGAATGGACACAGGCTTAGTTAGGTCTAAGGATGGAGATAGAGCTGAATCAGGATTGGAGATAGGGTCAGGGATGAAAGCGGGCCCTGGCTCGGGTCTACAAGGCTGGTCACCATTGAGGACAGGGCTGGAGCCAGCAAAGAACTGGGTTCAGATTTAGAAGAAGATTACTTCGGAGATGAAGTCTGGGAATTGGGGGTCAAGGTGGGCTTGAGGGGGACCACATCTGGAGCCAGGATGAGGCACTGTCTAGGATTTGGACCACGGTGGGGTGGCAGGTTTGACATGGGGGTGAGGTGTTCATGGAAGACAGACAGTCAGAGTTTGGGTTAGGATTGAGATGGTGGGCGTTGGGGGGCTGAGGTATGAAAGCAGATGGTATTTAGTGAACTCTCGAAGGTTTGTGGAACGTTTGATCCAGCATCCTCAAGCCCTTTGAACTAGGTGCTTTACACATAAGGAAACAGAGTCTGCAAAGGTTAAGTGACTAGTTCAAGGTCACCTAGTTGATGTCTATAGCACGCTTCAAACTTGGGTCTTCCTGATTTTATTTCCTGTGTTCGATCCCCTATGGAATGGGGCTGGTCTGGGCTTAGGTCAGAGAGTAGATTGCAAACACAGAACCCTATGATCTCCTTGCCGGGCCACTGACCTCAACTTCAGCTCTTCCATGCCTCGTGGACCTTATCGTTTGCTGGAGCGGGGGGGGGGGGGTGCAGCGGGGCGAGACAGAGAGAGGGAAAAGAGAGGGGAAGGGCTGGGATAGGGGTAGGTTCTCTGGAATGGCTAGGGACAGGGTTAGAACGGATATCCAGCTGGAAGCTGGGGCAGGATGAAGAAGGAATTGCCTGGTCAGGGTAGAAATGAGCTGGGTCAAGGTACTGGAGAAGTCCCGCAGGGGCTGGGGGGCTGTTGGAGGCTTTCTATACTGGTTTACCCTGAAGCCTGGTTTCTAACAAGGACTCCCAGAGCAGCCAGTCACAGAAGAGGGGAGCACAGAAGAAGGCTGGGGGGCCACAGAGATAGCGGGGAGGTCTCTGAGCCCCAGTCTGCTCCCCTTGCAGGGCCTCCCCGAGCTCCAGCTGAGGCGAGTGGGGGTCCAGCTGGCCGGAGCCCTGGACTTCCTGCATTCCCGGGGCCTGGTCCATGCTGATGTCAAGCCGGACAACGTTCTGGTCTTTGACAGAGCCTGCCGCCGCATAGCCCTGGGGGACTTCGGGCTGACCAGGCCGGAGGGCTGCCCGGCCCCAGCCCCGCCAGGACCCCTGCCCTCAGCACCTCCCGAGCTCTGCCTCCTCCAGCCCCCAGACACCCTGGCCCTCCGGCCTGAGCTAGACTCCTGGGGGCTGGGCGTGCTCCTCTTCTGTGCGGCCACCGCCTGCTTTCCCTGGTCTGTGGCCCTGGCTCCTGACCCTGGGTTCGAAACATTTGCCGGCTGGCTGACAGCCTGTCCCCAGCCAGCCGTGCCACCCCAGCCCTGGGCCCAGTTCTCTCTGGCTGCTCAGACCCTTCTCCGGGGCCTGCTTGCCCTTGAACCAGAGAAGAGGAGCCGTCCCGCAGCTGTGCTGGACTGGGCTGGGGAGCCTTGGGTGGTGGTGGGGGCCAGGGCAGAGGAGGAGGAGGAAGACTTCGGGGGAGGAGGAGAGGAGAAAGGCACTGGTGGGGAAGAGGAGGCCAGCTTAGATGAGGGCTCGGAGGAAGAGGAAGGAGCCCAGATGGGGACAGGATCATAGGGCCAGCCCAGGGGACTCCCTGACCAGGTGGTGAGGCAGGTGGTCTGGGCTACAGCCAAGTTCCCTCCCCCCCCACCACCACCCCACCCACGCACAGGGGCCACCTGGACTGACGAGACAGCTGGTGTGGGGAGTGAGGGGGGAGGTGAAAGGTGACCTTTCTCACCTCCTCCTGAGGCCTGGCCCCAGGTGGCTGGCTCCCTCTCCTTGCCCCCTTCCAGGGACCTAGGTGGATATTCCCTAGTCCCTGCCTCCCCCGGGCTCCAGTGACTCACTCGAGTCAGGGACAGAAGTGGGCTGTAGGCCCAGAAGCCCTGGCGCCCAGCCTGGGATTGGAGATACCAGGAGGGCACCCTCCGCCCCTCCTCCAATGCCCCGTTTCCTTCCCATGCACCCCACACTCGTCCACAGGCGCCTTCATCCCCAGGATGATTTTACAGCAGGCCCACACAGGGGAAGTGACTGTCTCAGGGTCACACAGATCAGAAGGGGGATTGACCAGATCAGACAGTATTTGTCAGGGCCAGGACTAGGCAAGGGGATGTGGAGGAGCCTAAGCACGTTTGTCAAATAAAGGTTCTCTGGCATGCCTGTGTCCCTGTCCTGGAGAAATGGAGGCAGGGCAGGGAGGGCGAGGTCCCTCGGGGCAGCAGCATGTCCAGTGAGGACTGGGTTCACAGGCCGCCTGGATCCCCGCAGCCCTCCCTCTCTGGGTCCCCGCGGTGCCCCTTTCCCCCCATCCCCTGCCGCCAGGCTGGATGGGAGCTTGGGCATGGCCTGGGACCCGGTACAAAGGAGGGCAGCTGGAAGCTGATGAGGTCAGTTTGCAGATGTTTCCTGGAAAAACCCCCTCCCTGCTGCCCACTAAGAGCCCCGGTGTCTGGGGCTACTCAGTCATCGGGATCCAGGCCCTCCAACTTCTGCCCCCCAGGGCTCAGACTCGGGTTTCTAAGGAACCACCAGACCCCTCTGAGCCCAGGCACGGTCAGATGATGACATGCTGCTGCCCCTCCCCCACTTTCCCAATCAATGCCCCTTTGATGGGCCAGAGGCAAGTGGGAGGAGGGAGGAGGAGACTGGGGGGGGGTGCCTGAATCCTGTTGTGGAGAGGGACAAGTGAGGGGGGTGGCGGGCTAAGAGATGAGGCAACTGGATTCCAGACCGATGTGGTGGGTCATGATCTCAGAGCACCAAGGCGGGTGCCGGAGCAACTGGGGACGAGGGGGAAGGGCCTGGCCCCTCGGGGTCTCAAAGGGACCAGGGCTGGGGCTGCAGGTCCACTGCAGGTCCACTGAGTCCCTGAAGCATCTGCCGGTATGGAGCAGGATACCCAGGGGCCTGAGGGGAATGGAAAATCTGGATGGTCTGGGGGCCTGGATGCCTGGGTCCCTGCCTACTACCTCTGGTCCACTGCCCACCCATGGGCAGTTACTCAAGGGCCCACACGGTGTCGCTCTGGCCCGGGGGGGGGGGGGGGGGAGACGGAGAAGGAGGGGCCTGGGTAAGGGGGTGTGGCCGAGGCCCCCCACAGGGCAGGGGAGCAGGGGGCGGGGTCTCTGGGCCTATGGCCCAGCTTGGGGTTGGCAGCCACCCAAACCAGCCAGGGCACTGACCAGAGGAGGTAGTGAGAGAGACCCGGAGCCCTTGGGGGAGGTGAGATTCAAGAGGGCTGGGGGCTGGGGGGCTAGGGGCCAGATGCCTGGCTCCCTGAAGGGGTGGGAACCGGGACACCAGATTCCTTGGTGTCTGACCGAGCTAAGGGCCGCTGGTCCTGTGACCAGGGCCACCATGGAGTTATTGGCAAGGGGTCTGAAGTTTTTAGTGTTCTTTAGGGGCCAAAGGGTTGTGGCCTTGGAAGCTAGAATCTATAATGGACTTGGGGATTGAGGAGCTAATGGAAGGGGTGGCTGGGAACTCGGACTCCTGGGAGCTTGAGAGCAGCTTGGACTGGAAGCTTAGCCACCGAGGTCCCAGAGGGAGGTGGGAGCTATTCCTTCCTAGCTTCCTGGCGGAGATTGGAGCTGGGGGCCCACAGCCTTGATTCCCTAAAAGAAGTGGGCTTTGGGACTCAGATGCTTGGCTCCCTGCACTGAGGACCTGGACAACTGGGCTGTCCCTGAAAGTCATGAGGGTTCTGGCTCGTTGGGAAGGAGTGGGGGCCAAAGGCATGGACACGGTATCCCGAAAGAGGTTTAGGGGCTGGGGGCCTGGATGTTGGGGCTCCTGAGAAATGAGAACCTCAGACAAAAGGGGGTTGGGTCTCTATCTAGGGACCCAGAGCCTGGAGGGGGGTCTGGGGGCTAGGATGCTGCATCCCTAACGGAATTGAGGACCATGGCCTTAAGGCGGTTTTCAGCTGCAGCATGCAGCCCAGGGACCCTCATGGAGCTGCAGGCTATGGCCTGGACTCCTGGGTTCCCAAAGCACCTGGTGCCAAATTTCTGTCTCCATCTTGTCTGTCCCTCCCCCCCCCGCCCCCCCCTTCAGCTTTCTTAACCCTGCCCCTGGGGGTGAGTAGCACCTGTCTTCTCTTGAAATGAGGAGTCTGATTCCCCCCCCCAAGTCTGTTTGCTTTGGAAACAGTGGGGGCTGACTTCTCCTGCCTGGTTCATCTTTCCTCCCACTGGAGGCCCAGTTTGGGGGGAGGGGGGAGGATTAGAGAAGGCGGGGTCTAAAGAAGAGGGGACCATCTATGACCACAAAGTCACCGGCCCCCAGCCCCAAGCCTTAGGGGCCAGCTTCCTCTCAGAACTCAGCCAGCCCATCCCTAGCTGACATTGGCCATTACCCTAAGACCCTCCGCCCACTATGACCCGAGGCTGCACCAGGCACAGGACCCTCCTCAGGTCGCTTGTCTGGGTTGGCTTTTCCAGAGAGAGGCATGACAGGAGAGAAGGGCGAGGAGGACGGGGAGGCCCTGAGCTGGGACCTGGGAGATCTGACGATGGAGGAGCTGAGTGAGGGCCAAGCGGCTGCCAGGGCCCTGGAGGACATGCTGGCTTTGAGCTCCCAGACACTGGTTCAGGCTGAGGTTGAGGACCTCTACGAGGAGGTGCGCCCGCTGGGCCAGGGCCGCTTTGGCTGCGTCATCCTCGTCACCCACCGACAAAGAGGTAGCTGGAAGGAACGGGTGTGGGCAGGGTCTGAGGGTCCTGAGGGGAAGCAGAGCGGGCTGCCCAACGTGTGTCCAAATATGGCCTTGCTCTTGTCCTCAGCATCACGTGGCAGGGGGGGAAGAGCCTGAGTTCATGCTCTAGATCAGAACTGAGTGTGGGGCCCCAGGACCGGGTTGGCCGCAGAGATAGCCAGGGACCCAGTGTCAGGGCCTCGAGACACAGGGCTGCAGATCCCTTGAGCCCCAGCGGAGCCACATTCAGGTACTGGACATGTGACCTCGGGCAAGTAGGTCCTTTCTTCTTTCTGGGCCTCAGTTTCCCCATTTGTAAAAGGAGGGGATTCAGCTGGTTGGCCAGCCTAATCCCAACTCTGGGTGGTCTCTCAAGGCTTCAGTCCCCCTTCTATAAAGGGAGAGGATCGGCCTCCCCTCTTTTGGCCCTGAAGAATCTCTGCAGTCCAGACCAGCTCTGATGTTCTAGGGCTCCGTGTGGTCCTCCCGCTTGCCCCCCTGGGTCCTACCCACAGCCCTCGCCCCTCCTTGCTTCCCTCCTGCGGGGGTCACCCAGGGACGCCCATGGCCCTTAAGCTTTTGTCCAAGGCCTCGACAACTCGCCAAGGGTTTCTTTACGAGTTCTGTGTGGGACTGACCCTTGGCTCTCACCCCGGCATCGTGGCCGCCTATGGTATCGGGCTGGAGACGCAGGCCTGCTACGGCTTCCTCTCGGAGCCCGCCCTGCACGGGGACCTCATCGCCTTGATCCAGCCCAAGGTAGGTCCACAGCTGGGAGACGTTGCCATTCAGGGGGAAGGAGAGACCCCAGGGGAGGGTCCAGAAGGAGCCTCCTTCCTGGGCCTTGAGCTCTGTGAGGGGATCTGGAGAGATAACCCAAGAATGGGGAATTGGGACGGCGACTGCTCAGAGAGGGTGGGCAGAAAGGGGCAGCTGAGCCTAGGCGCTGTGCCTGAGGTCAGCTCTGGGGGAGGGGGTACAGTGAAGCGGGGTGGCTACTGATCAGAGGGACCTCAAGACGAGGATCTGGCCATAGTGTTTCAGAGGTGGACAGGACAGTAGGGGCCGGGTCACATCCCCTCCATCTGACACAGAGAGTATGTCTGCGTGGATGGGTGGGAGCTGACAGCTAAGAAGTGCCCTGGGACACACAGGTTACCCTCTTGGGGTGGACCCCCAGGCCTGGGCCAGGGACATGGTGCCATTCATCTGCCAGAGCTGCTAGCAGGCACTGCCCCCGGGGTTGGGGGCCTCTTGGCTCAGCTGAGAGACCCTTGCTTCCCCACAGAAGGGTCTTCCTGAGTCAGCAGCTCAGCTCTGCGCCCAGCAGCTCTCCTCGGCCTTGGAGCATATCCACTCCCGGGGCCTCGTATACCGAGACCTGAAGCCAGAGAACGTGTTGGTGTTTGAGCCAGGCTGCCGGCGGGTGAAGCTGACTGACTTTGGGCACACGCGGCCCCGGGGGACCCTGCTGCGCCTGGCTGGGCCCCCCATCCCCTACACGGCCCCTGAGCTGTGCAGCCCGACCCGCCGGCCTGAGGGTCTACCCATCCAGCCCTCCCTGGACGCCTGGGCCCTGGGCGTGCTCCTCTTCTGCCTCCTCACCGGCTACTTCCCCTGGGACCAGCCACTGCCCAGCGAGGACCCCTTCTACCAGGATTTCCTGGACTGGAGAGCTTCCGGAAAGGCCTGTGATCGCCCGGCACCCTGGGTTGGTTTGACCCCTGTGGCCGATCAGCTGCTGGGGGTGCTGCTGGACCCTCGGCCCCGGCACAGGGGCCCCGTGGGCTCAGTCCGGGCCTTTCTGGGCCAGTGCTGGCAGGAGAAGGCTGGGAGCCCAGAGCTAGCCAGGAAGAGGGGAGAGAGGGAGGAGGACAACGAGGAGAAGGAGGGAGCAGAGTGAGAGACCTGGGAGGAATCCTCGAGGAGGTGCTCTGCTCTCTCTGTGGGGGACCGGGGTGGGGGTTGAGACCGGCGGGGAGGTGCCCGCCTCTCTGCAGCCGAACGCCCCGCCCCCACCTCTGAGTCTGCGTCACTCCCCACCCGGCACCTTTTTCTCCCAGTCTCTTTCAGCTCTTCCTTTCTGTCTTTCCTTCTGTTTTGTTTTTCTCTGGGTCTCCCTGCCCCCCCATGGCTCACCCCGTCTCCTTTCTCCAATAAAGCCTGAAGAAACTTCTATTTGCTGTCCTGTCTGAGGCGTTGGTCATGGAGTTAGCATGGGTTTCTATTTGTGGGCATTTCTGTGAATGTGTTTGAGTGTGTAGATGTTTGTGTGTGTAGATGTGTTTGTGTGCACACGCCAGCAAGGCGGGCCCGGGGGGGGGGGGTGTCGCCACCTGTCACCACCTGGGGCCCTGGCTCCCTCCCAGCTGTCCAGGGCCGCCAGCCTGCCCTGCCCGCAAACACTCCCTCTTCCTCTCCTGCCTCTCTGCTCGGCCCCATGCCCAGCTGGGTCTGGCGGCTCTGACCTCGTGGGTGCTGGTTTCCCAACCTGTGAGGGTGGGCCCTGCTGGATCCAGAGGCAGAGACCCTGTCTCCCATGTCAGGGGCTCAGGCTAGAGGGCGGCAGGCAGAGCGGGCAGGAGGAGAGGGGCTTTGTGCCACCTCCAGCTCTCACCAGAGCCTGAAATAGCTGAGCGATTAGGCAGGGAATGCCCTCACGCTGAAGTGAAGGAGTGGGGGTGGTGCTAGGCAGCAGGCTGAGGGACTTGGGGGGGCCCTGGGGCCCTCGCACAGGCGTTAATTGCTGCCAGGTGCTGGAGATTAACAGGCTGTGATAATGAGCCTGAGATGAGGCAGCTGCCCAGGGAGCTTGCAGCAGACCTCTCAGGGGTCTGTGGGAGGGTTGCCAAGGCCTGGGCCAGCCTGGGGCCCGGGCCCCCTGTGACTAGTGCCAGGCTCCCCTTCGGGGCCCTGGGGCTCAGGAACTCCCCCCAATATTCTGGGAGCTGCCTGGCATCCACAGGCAGCCTGGGAGAGTCCTCAAAGCCTGGGGTGCCCCCGACAGGGACCCTTGGAAATCCCAGGGGAGCTTCTGGCCACCTTCTAAGAGGGCTGGGGGCAAGATGTCCAGCTGGAGGGGCCTCCCAGAGCCAGACCCTGTTTGACCAAAAGGAATAAACTTGCCCAAGGTCACACTGTGGCTGAGGTCAGCCTCAAACTGAGGCCCCAGCTGCAGCTAAACCCAGAGACTGAGCAATCTATGGCCAGCCAATGTGAGCAGCCCCAAGGCGTCTGCCATCCCAGTTAAGAGAGTGGGGGGCCATGTCAAGAGAATGAGGCTGGGCGTAGAAGAAGAAGGCTAGGCCTAGGCCCTGCCTTGGAATGTCACCTTGGTGGAGCAAGGGCTTCCCCTATCTCTGGGCCTCAGTTTCCCCTTTGTGCTTTGGTGGGGCCTCCAGAGTTCCTGCTGGCTCGGACCCTTCTGGTACTCTGATCGAGGCCTCAGACCCTGCGAGGATCCTTCCTCCGCCTCCTCCCCACTCCTCCCATACACATTCCTAGCAATGGGGTCCATGGAGGAAATGGTCTCAGGGTGTTGCTCCATAGAGCTGCTGGGGGGCAGGGGAAGATATCTCTGGGGTTGGAGGCCTGCCCTTGAATGCTCCTTGGGGGGGTCCCTGAGCAAGGCCTGCCATGTGTCAGCAGGGGGCTGGCACTGGCCAGGCCAGCTCTGCCTCTGGCTTCAGGCCCCTGGGCCAGATGTTCCGGCTTAAAGGCCAGCTGGGATAGGATAACTGGGTAATTAAGCACACACTTAGGGGCCAGGGAGTGGGCATGGTGCCCTGGGAAGCGTGGGTGTCCTTTGGCCCAGAGCCCTCCCCACAGCTCAGGGAGGGGGGCAAGGGTCCCCAGCCTCCTAGGCCAGCCCTCTAGCTTATGCCCAGTGGGGCTCCTCTGTGGTTCATCTGATTCTGGGCCCTCTTTCCTGGGGATCATGGGGGGGGGTGGGAGACAGCCTGACTCTCACACTTGCAAGGGGCCCCCAGACCTCAGAGAAGGCCTGAGACCCTTCCTCAGAGAGCAGGAGCAGCCTGGTTGGGGGGGAGGCTGCCCAGACCCTGGTAGCCTGTCCCCCAGCCTCCCCTGACCTGGTAGGGTGGGCACCTCGCCCCGGGCAGCCAGTCCCAGGGGCCCAGTCAGGAGTTATTTACGTCGCCCGGCTTACCGGGTGAGGGGAAGCTGAGATTCTCAGCGTGCTCAGAGAGCTCTCAAGCAGTTGGCCTAAGCCTGTCAGCCCAACAGGACCCCCGGACCCTCCCACCTTGTCTGGCTGCCCCCCCCACCCCTAGTAACTGGACCTTCCTGGCCTTTCCCTCCCCAGGCTTAGGGGTGGCGAGAAGGCCTGACCTTCCCTGGCCTCTGCTGCTGGACGCCAGGAACGCTTTGTCCTTTTCTCGGCCTGGGGGGAGGAAATTCAAGGCTGTCTAAAGGTGGAAGGGGGTGCTTAGAGATCCCCAAGGCTGATGCCTCCCCCATGGGGTGGTGGCCCAGAAAGGGACGCCATCTGCCCAAGGTCACACAGCAAAAGGACGCAGATGGAGGTGGAACTCGTGCCTGGGCTCAGAGAGCAAGGACCCCCAAGAGCCTTGCAGCTCTGCAGAGAGGGAAGCCCCGGGCCCCAAAGCCTTGCAGGCCCTTGTCCCCTTCTGAGCTGCCTCCTTTCCCCCTGCATGCAGCCCCCTGTAAGTGTCTGTCTCTTTTCCTCCCTCCCTCTCTGTCCCCCTACAATGCCTGGCACAGGGCCCTGGTCTCTTCCCTTTCTCTCGCTAAGTGCTCGGCGCAAGCCTGGGCGCACAGTAGGGTCTCAGAAAATGGGTGCTCAATTAAACCACCATAGGCACTAGTTCTGGGTGTCTTTGTTCACTTGGGGGAGGAGGGCATCTCTGTCCTTTGTCTGGGGAGCTCACACGTCGCCTCTTCGCGGTCTCTCCTCCTCTTCCTCCTCCTCTTGGAGCCTGGGGGCCACGGAGGTCCTCGACGCCTCCACCAGCCCTCTCAGGGCCTGGCCCAGATCGCCCAGGCCTCTGATGGCCTCCACCAGCTGCCCCAGCTCCAGGCCTACCGTCCTTCTCTCCTCTCGGTTCTGCTGGACCGCCTGGGTCAGACTCCGCAGCTGTTTGCCCACATCCCTCACTGCCCCAACCAGCTCCCGCAGGGCCGGGGGCTCGCAGGCCATGACTCGAAGGACGGTTGGGGTGAGGGGAGTGGCCAGCACACACTGGCCAGTCTCCACATCACTGGGACCTGGGGACTGTGGGGGGACCGAAGGACCATCCAAGACCCCCCCAGAGCCAGCTGTTGGAGGATGCTTGGGACCCTGCTCTGGAAGTGTGGCAAGGTTAGGGACCAGACTGGGGCTAATGGTGGGCTGTGAGGCTACAAATTGTGGGACACTTGAGTTTTGCCTAGAGATAGAATCTGGGGTCCCAGAAGGTGCTGCACTCCTGGGTGGAACCTCTGAAGGCTCGGGGCTGGGGCTGGGAGCAGGGCTAGGAGCCACCGGGGAGGGCCCAACTAGACTCATCCCGAGGCCTGGGGGGGTCTGTGAGGGGCTAGCAGGCCCAGGTGGCGGGGATGGTGTGTACTTTGAGGGCATCCCTGGGCTGGCAGGGAACACTCTGGCTTGCTGGGAGGTGGGACTGAGCTCTGGGACCAGCTGTGTAGAAGAGGCCAAGTCAGAGGTCAGCCCATGAACACTGGGGGAGGCAGTGGTCACCTTTGGGCTTGGAGAAGGGTCGGGCATCAGCAGGTTAGTTTGGGTAGGACTGGAAGACGGGGTCAGCTGTGAATCTACAGAGGGCTGAGTGGTCAGTACTGGTTCGAAGGTGGGATCAGCAGTCATCTGCAGGGACAGGTCAGAGATCAGGTGGGAGACAGAACCAGGAGTGAACGGTGGTTCAGTGGAGGGAGGAGTTAGTAGTGGGCTAGGGTCAGAGGTCAGGTCTAGGGCCCAGGTAGGGGTCAGCTGTGAGCTAGGGCCAGAGGTCAGGTCTAGGGCAGAGTGAGGGGTCAGCTGTGGGCTAGGGTCAGAGGTCAGGTGTGAGAAGGACTCAATGGTCAGTTGTAGGTTGGTATCAGATGTCAACCGTGGGGCAACATCAGGTATTGGCTGGGGGGTGGGCAAAGGGGTGAGCTCCCCTTTAGGGGTAAAATCAGAGGTGAGCTCTGGGGTAGAGTCAGGGCTCGGCTGTGGGCCAGGATCAGTGTAGAAGGTTACCACTGACACTGGAGAGGAGTCAGAGGTCAGCTGAGGTGTAGAATCTGGGGTCAGCTGTGGGCTGGGGTCAGAGGTCAGCTCTAGGACAACATCTGAAGTCCGTTTTTGGCTGATATCAGAGATCGGCGGTGGGTTGGGGTCAGAGGTCAGTAGTTGGCCAGAGTCAGTGGTCAGCTGTGGACTGGGGTCAGGAGTCAGCTGTTTGTCTGAGCCAGGGGTCAGCTGTGGGTTGGGGTCAGTGGTCAGGGACAGTCTGAGATCAGAGGTCAACTGTGTACTAGATTCAGTGGTCAGCTGGAGATCTGGACTGGGGGCCTCCTTGGGGGCTGCTGTAGGCTGCAAGGGCAGAGACCGACTGTGGAAATCTGGGGAGAGAACAAGAAAGGGGAAGGGTGGGTCTGAGGGAAGCCAACTGGTCGGCGCGGCACTGCTGATGTCATACGTCGCCAGGCAGACTTGAGTCTTCCATTCGGGGTCCATAGCTCATTGGGAAGGCCCCAGGACGCCCCCTGGTGCCCAACCTTCCCTAGCGGTCCCCAGCGGTCCTCAGGGGGCCTAAGAGCCATTCCCTCCCCCGGGGAGAGAGGGCGAGGATAGGCACGCTGGCTTGGGAAGCATTTACAGGAGGTCTCTCCGTCCTGTCCTGGGACTCTTCTTAGCTCTCTACAATCTGGCTTCCGACCCCATTAGTCCACCCAGACCGCTCATGCTCCTTCCCCTTGGCCTCTCTGCAGCCTTGGACACCGGTGGTCACTCTCTCCTCTCTCCAGCGTTTTGAGACACCCTCTCTCCTGGCTTGTCTCCTCCTACCGTCTGACTGTTCCTTCTCCACGCCCTTTCAGCCGGGTCACACCCGCGCTAATGGCCTGCGTCCCCCAGGGCTCTGTTCTAGCTGGCCTCTCTTCTCTTCTGCCTGTAGCGGACTTTATCTGCTGAGCTCTTCAGTTCCTGGCATTTAATTGTGATCAGTGCTGATGGTTCTCAGATCTGCTTATTCTGCCCTAACCTCTCTGGGGATCTTCTGCCTTCATCTCCAACAGGGCATCACCTGTAGAAATCCTCACCTCAACATGCCCCAAACAATTTGTTGTCTTTCCTCTCAAACCCTCCCCTTTGCCCTTCTTCCCTGTTCCTGTGGAGGGCACCGCCAATCGCAGGCTCCCAGCCTCAGGGGTCTCTCCCTCATCTCCCATATCCAAGCTGTGGCCAAGGCACATTGAGTTCACCATGGCACCATCTCTCCTCTGACCCTGCCCCCACTGTGGTGCAGGCCCTCATCACCTGATGCCTGGACCATAGCAGTAGCTGCTGGGAGATCTGCCCGCCTCCAGTCTCTCCCCACTCCATTCAGTCACTACAGTGAGCCTCCTAAAAGTACAGGTCTGACCTTGTCCTCCCCTACTCAAGAAACTCCAGTGGCCCCCTATTGCCCCCAGGATCAAATAGAAAAATCCTTTGGTGTTCTGAACCTGGCTTTGAACCTGGCATCTTCCCCCTGACCTTTCTAGTCTTCTTATACCTCACATTCCCTCTGCCCCAACACACCACTGAATTTTCGCTCCAGTGACAACAGCCTCCTGGCCTTTCCGCTAAAAAGACCCTTTGTCTCTTGGCTCTGGGCAGTCTCTCTGGCCATCCCCCACGCCTGGGACGCTCACCCTCCTCTGCTCTGATGACTGGGCTCCCTGGCTTCCTTTAAGTCCCGGCTAAAATCCCTCCTTCTGCAGGAAGCCTTCCCTGCCCTCTTCATCCTGGCCTTGCCTCTGTTAATTATCTCTGATTTATCCTGTATAGAGCTCACTCTGTGTTAAGTGGCTTCACTTGTTTTCTTCCCCCATAGAGTGTAAGATCCTTGAGGGCAGGGGCTGCCTTTTGCCATTTTTTGTATCCCCAGCACTTGAAAAAAAGGCCAAGGTCTCCTACTGCATCTGGGGCCATCTCCAGTTGTCTCGATCAATATCTGGCCACTGGACCCAGATGGCTCCGGAGGGGACGGTGAGGCTGGTGCCCTTGCACAGCCCTGCCTCACTTAAGTCTAATACACTTGCATGTCATGGCATCACCTCCCTGATGTCCTGGTCCTCTTTGAGAAGGAAGGGCAGAGCACCACCACAACCCCAATGCTCACCACGGCGCCTGGCACATAGTAGCGGGTGCTGACTGACTGGGAAGGGACGACCAAGAGACAAAGACCAGTGGGCACAAAACAGGTTAGAGACAGAGACAGACAGAGATGCAGAGACCAGTGAGAGGCAGGAAGAGACAGAGAGATGGGGAGAGAGACAGAGGAGTGACAGACAGTCACAGAGCCCGAGCTGAAGGGACTGAAGAAAGGCAGCGCAGCGGTCAGGAGGGGATTTTACCTCGAGCGCGTTCCCCCGGGGGATGACCCAAGGGCTGGACAGGGCAGCCGTAAAGACAGAGCCTGCAGCCGGCTCACAAAAGGGGCCTCCCATAGGTGGAGGCGAGACAGAGGCGAGGAACGGAGGCAGAGACGTGGGGAGAGAGGTGGAGGCTGGGGGAGAGCGCAAGGTCGAGCCGACCAGGAGGACGTGGAAGGGACAGACAGTGGACAAGGGAGGAAGTGAGAGAGAGAGAAATATGGGAAGGAGACGATGAAGAGGAAGAGCCTGAGATAAAGGGGTGTGTGTGTGTGTGTGTGTGTGTGTGTGACAGAGACACTGGTGTGTGTGCACGTGTGTGTGTGAATGTGTGACAGAGACACTGGTGTGTGTGTGTGGCAGAGACATTGGTGCTGACAGACATTGCTGTGTGTGCGCATATGCAGGCGTGTGTGTGTAACAGACACTGGTGTGTGCACATGTGCGTATGCATGCGTGTGTGAGAAAGACACTGTTGTGTGTGTGAGACACTGGTGTGTGTGTGTGACAGAGATACCAAGGTATGTATGTGTGTGCGACAGACACTGGTGTGGGTGTGTGACAGAGATACCAAGGTATGTATGTGTGTGCGACAGACACTGGTGTGGGTGTGGGTATGACAGAGACACTAGTGTGCGTGCATGTGTGTGCATGCATGTGTGTATGTGACACAGAATGGTGTGCATATGTGACAGAGACAGCAGTATGTGTGTGAATGTGTGCAACAAAGACACTGTGTGCACACACGTGCATGCATGTGCATCCACCTGTGTGTGTGTCAGAGACACTGGTTTGTGGGTGTGTCAGAGACACCAGGGGTGTGTGTGTGTGTGTATGTGTGTGTGTGATAGAGACACCGGTGTGTTGTGATAGGGACAATGGTATGTGTGCATGTGTGTGCCAGAGACACGACTGTGTGCATGCATGTGTGCATGTATGTGCACATGCGCGACAGAGAAACTGTTGTGTGCACGCACATGCATATGTTTGCACATGTGTGAGACACTGGTGTTTCCATGCACACACCACGTGCTTGTGCATGGGTGTGTGACAGAGACACATATGTGTGCATGCATGTGTGTGTATGTGTGTGTGACAGAGACACTGATGTGTGTATGTGTGTGTATGTCACAGACACTGGGGTGTGTGTGTGTAATAGAGACAATGGTGTGTGTGTGCACGTGATAGTGACAATGGTGTGTGCATGTGTGTGTGACAGAGACACTGGTGTGTGAATGCATGTGTGTGTGCATGCACATGCATGTGCATGACAGAGGCACCAGTGTGTGTGTGTGTGTGTGTGTGTGTGTGTGTGTGTGTGTGTGTGTGTGTGAGTGTGTGACAGAGACACCAGGGAGAGACCCAGAGATGGAAACAGAGAGGGGGAGGGAGGAGGGATGGAGAGAGGGACCCAGAGACCCGTGGAGAAGATAGAGACAGCCCTGAGCCAGCCGTCCAGGGAGGAGGGGAGGTGACAGGGAGGCTCTGAGGGGAGGAGGGGGTGGGGGTGGGGATGAATCAGAACTCTCGGGTTAGAGAGAAAACGGACGCACAGCGAGACAGACACGTAGAGGGGCACGGCCAGCCCAGAAAGCCACGGGGGAGGGGGAGCCCGGCAGAGGGCTGGGGGAGCTGCTGGCGTATGCTCAGAGCCTGCGCTGCCCTTACGTTCTCTGGGTATGCTGCGACGGGGCTCATGAGGACACAGGGTTACTGATGGATCTCCCGAGTCTTATGGGGGGCAGGTGATGCCTGGGAGGCCGGGCCTCAGTGTCCCTGAGGCTCCCTGGCTACATTAGCATAGAGTCTCTGGGCTCCCTGCAGACGTGCTCTGTGGGGTCTGGGGCGGGGGGGGGGGGCTCACTTCGGTTCATTCTTATAGGCCCACTAGGACCCCAGCTGGGATGGGCTCAGACAACACAGGGTCCCTAGGGGGTCCCTGGGGGTAAGCCAAGCCGGCGTGCCCTTGGGAGGTTGCCGGGGCCCACCCAGTGTTCCCAGCCCCATTTCTGGGAGAGGCCCTGCTCTTCACCTGGGTCTCCGCGGTCCCGGGGGGTCTGAGAAGCAAGGTCATGGCTGGAAGCAGTTGTTGTGAGGCTCCCCGGGGCGGTGTCCCTGCGAGAACTGGTGTCCCAGGCCCAGGGGAGATCACTGCCATCCTCCATGTCTCCTGTGGGGAGAGATGGGGGGAGATTCTGAGCCTCCAGGCTCCCTGAGGGCCCGAGGCCCCAGAGCCCCGTCTTTCATCCTACCCTGACTGGCCTTCGAGCTTTTGGCTCCCTGGGCCCCTGGGCCCTGTTCCTGCAGAAGCCACAGTCCCCTGCTGGTCCCTCCTCCTGGTCCCCAAGCTCTTCCTCCACTAGCTGTCTCCCCAGCTCGCTGGTCCCCCCGAGTCCTTCCATGCCCTGCCCCAGCCCCCCAGCACTGCTCACCAGACTAGCCTAGGGTGTCTGGGCTCCCCCACAGTCGAGCCCCTTGGATCATGGGATGGGAAGTCATGTGGCCTGCCCGGGATCACAGAGCCTGTGACCATCCTTCGCCAGCCCCAGCCCAGGCTTCCTGCCTCATACCTGTGCAGGTGAGCCCCACATCCTCCTGGTGCTCGCAGTTGTGAATCCCCCAGGGTGAGGCTGGACAGTCCCCTAGCGAGGCCTCCACACCCACACAGCCTACATCATCTAGCCAGATCGGGCCCGTCCCGGATCCGTAGTAGGTTTTGCCCACGCGGGGTCGGATGCCCCCGCAGCCTAGCTCCCGGCAGGCCACGGCCGCGTCTCGGGGATCCCAGCCATCGTCACACACGGTTCCCCAGACGTCACCACGCCGCACCTCCAGCCGCCCGGCGCACCGGTCAGGCCCATCGGAGAGACGCAGCCGAAAAACACCTGACCGTGACCACAGGGGCGGGGCTCAGGCCCGGCGGGGGGCCTCTCTCCCCTGCCCTCCTTTCTTCCCTCCACCAGGCCCTCTGCCTGCTCTGGTCTTACCCGAGTCTCCAGAGCCTGGCCAGGTCGGGGTGGAGGACAAGTCTTTGAGAGTGCTTGTGGGTAAAGTCTTCAAGGCCTCCCAGCTGCTCTCAGCCCCCGGTGTGGAAGAGCCTGGGTCTGGGGAGGTCTCAGAGGAACTCTCATCTCTATCCATTGGGGTGGCTTCCTTGGGGACTTGAGTGTTTAGCTGTGGGGTGACCTGGGAAGGTTGTCTTTGTGAGGACTGAGTGGCCAGTGGGGGGTTGGCGGAAGATGTCATTGGAATATTGGGTAGTGAAGTCTGAGTGGGCAGTGGGAATGAGTCCTGCAGGGTCTGGCCTCGGGGAGCCTGTGTGGTCAGTTTGGGGGAGGCCGGGGGGGTCTGGCCTCGGGGAGCCTGTGTGGTCAGTTTGGGGGAGGCCGGGGGGTCTGGCCTCGGGGAGCCTGTGTGGTCAGTTTGGGGGAGGCCTGGGGGGTCTGGCCTCGGGGAGCCTGTGTGGTCAGTTTGGGGGAGGCCGGGGGGGTCTGGCCTCGGGGAGCCTGTGTGGTCAGTTTGGGGGAGGCCGGGGGGGTCTGGCCTCGGGGAGCCTGTGTGGTCAGTTTGGGGGAGGCCTGGGGGGTCTGGCCTCGGGGAGCCTGTGTGGTCAGTTTGGGGGAGGCCGGGGGGTCTGGCCTCGGGGAGCCTGTGTGGTCAGTTTGGGGGAGGCCTGGAGGGTCTGGCCTCGGGGAGCCTGTGTGGTCAGTTTGGGGGAGGCCTGGGGGTCTGGCCTCGGGGGGAGCCTGTGTGGTCAGTTTGGGGGAGGCCGGGGGGTCTGGCCTCGGGGAGCCTGTGTGGTCAGTTTGGGGAGGCCGGGGGCGTCTGGCCTCGGGGAGCCTGTGTGGTCAGTTTGGGGGAGGCCGGGGGGTCTGGCCTCGGGGAGCCTGTGTGGTCAGTTTGGGGGAGGCCTGGGGGGTCTGGCCTCGGGGAGCCTGTGTGGTCAGTTTGGGGGAGGCCTGGGGGGTCTGGCCTCGGGGAGCCTGTGTGGTCAGTTTGGGGGAGGCCGGGGGGGTCTGGCCTCGGGGAGCCTGTGTGGTCAGTTTGGGGAGGCCGGGGGCGTCTGGCCTCGGGGAGCCTGTGTGGTCAGTTTGGGGGAGGCCGGGGGGTCTGGCCTCGGGGAGCCTGTGTGGTCAGTTTGGGGGAGGCCTGGGGGGTCTGGCCTCGGGGAGCCTGTGTGGTCAGTTTGGGGAGGCCTGGGGGGTCTGGCCTCGGGGAGCCTGTGTGGTCAGTTTGGGGAGGCCGGGGGGTCTGGCCTCGGGGAGCCTGTGTGGTCAGTTTGGGGGAGGCCGGGGGGGTCTGGCCTCGGGGAGCCTGTGTGGTCAGTTTGGGGAGGCCGGGGGGGTCTGGCCTCGGGGAGCCTGTGTGGTCAGTTTGGGGGAGGCCGGGGGGGTCTGGCCTCGGGGAGCCTGTGTGGTCAGTTTGGGGGAGGCCGGGGGGGTCTGGCCTCGGGGAGCCTGTGTGGTCAGTTTGGGGGAGGCCTGGGGGGTCTGGCCTCGGGGAGCCTGTGTGGTCAGTTTGGGGGAGGCCTGGGGGGTCTGGCCTCGGGGAGCCTGTGTGGTCGGTTGAGGAGTAGCCGGGCCTTGTGGAACCCGGGTTGTCTGCCTCCGTGGGACCTTAGTGGTTGATTGTCCAGGAGGTCGCATGGTGGGTTTCCGTGGTTTCTTTGTGGTCCATTTTTTGGAGCTATGTGGAGTTCTCGCTGGTGGCTTGGCCACTGTGGTTCTGGGGCTGCTAGTAGTCAGCTGGGTGGCCACATCCCCCAGACTCTCAGTGGTCCACCTCAGTGGCCAGCCCTGTCCATCCTCATGTGGCTCTGGGGTCCAGCTCCAGCTGAAGGGGCCTGGGACCAAGTCAGGCCCAAGACTCCCTAGGGAGAGAAGATGTGGGTAAGGTCACACTCCTGACTCTCTGTAAAGTCCCCCTCCAGGAAGGCCCCTTGGGTTTGTTCCTCTTGGATTTGGCCAGAGGGCCATGGGCCTCTCTCTCCCTCATGGAGCCCTTTTGGGAGAACTCACTAATTCTTCCAAGGAGTCTTTCTCAATTTGAGAAGGGAGACTCTTCTTTCAGAAAGCCTTCCCAGATTTGGAGAAAGAGATCCCCCCTTCCTAGAAGTCCTCCCGAGTCAAGAAGAGAGGCCCACAGCCCAAAGAAGCCCACAAGAAGCCCTCCCAGCCAAGGTGTAGAGGAAGGAACTCTTCCCCTCCTCCTCCCCCTGGCCTCACCCCAAGAAGCTCCCCCAAATGAGGGTTAGGAGGGCTAGGGACGGCCGGGGGGGGGCTGGCCCTGGGGGTCAGGCTGACGGCAGGCAGGGACACCTTACCTGTGCAAGTGACCCCCACATCCTCATTATGGGCACAGTTGTGTTTTCCCCAGGGGGCTGCAGGGCAGTTGGCTAGCCAGACCTCAGTCCCACTGCAAGCCACGTCATCCAGCCAGATGGGGCCCTCCCCCCAGCCAAAGCGGCCAGCGGCAGGGCCTGGCTCCTGGGGGACACCACATCCCAGCTCCCGGCAGGCCACCGTGGCATCCCGTACATCCCAGCCATCATCACACACAGTCCCCCAGCGACCGCCATACCACACCTCTAGCCTCCCGGCGCACCGGCCTGGCCCAGACACTAGGCGAAGGCGGGGGGTGCCTGTGGGGGAGAGCAGATGTCACGAGCAGCCTGGGAGGCAAAGCCCAGTGACAGAGCCACCCCCCAGCCTATTCCCCTGCCAGGATGATGGGATGGAGATGTATAAGGGCCTTTCGAAATCATTGAATTCAATCCCTCATTGTACAGATGGGGAAGCTGAGGCCCAGAGAGAGGAATTGAGTCAGTGGCCTATGGCTCAGTATTTCTGGACTGAAGAATCCCTTTTCCCCCATCCTGTCCTGGGCCAGAGTGGGAACAACACAGCTCACAGAGCCTGCCCACGAGTGGCATGCTACGACCTGGAGGAAGGCCAGGGTTCGATTTCCACTTACTAGACGTGTGGCCTAGAGTTAACGACTGGCCCTCTCTGAGCCCCAGGTTCCCCGCCTAGACAAGGAAGATGATCTCTTGGGTGGCTCGTGTGACCTTAGAAAAGTTCCTGCAAACAGGAACTCTAATGCATTGCTGGTGGAGTTGTGAACTGATCCAACCATTCTGGAGAGCACTCTGAGGGCTGTAGCCCAGAGAGATCACACAAATGGGAAAAGATCCCACATGTACAAAAATATTCATAGCAGCTCTTTTTGTGGTGGCAAAGAATTGGAAATGGAGAGGATGCCCATCCATTGGGGAATGGCCGAGCAAGTCGTGGTATATATTGTGCTATAAGAAATGATGAGCAGGCTGACTTCAGAAAAACCTGAAGAGACTTTTATGGACTGATGGTGAGTGAAGCGAGCAGAACCAGGAGAATGTGGTACATAGTAACAGTCACGCTGTGCGATGACTAATATTGATAGAGTTAACCCTTCTCAGCATTGCAAGGATCTAAGACATCTCCAAGGCCTTGTGATAGAGAATGCTATCCACATCCAAAGAAAGAACTACGGAGTCTGAATGCAGATCAAAGCAGACTATTGGCTATATTTTTCTTCTATTGTGTTTTGTTTTGTCTTTCTCATGGTTCCTCCTATTGGATCTAATTCTTACTTACAACATGACTAATGTGAAAATATGTTTAACAGGAATGTCTATGTAGAGCCTATATCAGATTGCACTCCGTCTTGGGGAGGGAGATAAAAACTTAAAACTCAAACACTGTTGGAAAGGATTGTTGATAAATCAAAACAAATTAATAAAAAAAAATAGACAAAGAGAAGTTCCTGCTTCTCTGGGCCTCAGTTTCCTCACATGTGAAATGAGGGGTTTGAAGGATTGCTTTCTGAGTGACCTAAGGCCAGCCCCTTACCCTTTCTGGGCAGTTGGACCCAGACACAGCTCCAACACCCTAGTGTGACAGCAGGGCTCTGCGGAAGGGGGGGCAAAAGACCTTCAGTTGTCAAGGTCTTCAGCCTCCTGGTGACCCCTCAGGAGTACCCAATAATGGCCAGTTAACCTTATCCACTCCCCAGAAAAGCAGGGGCCCCAGGGGCCAGACTGGCTTCTCACTCACCCTCCTCAGGGCCTGGTTCCGGCAGGGATGTGGGAGAGGCAGGGGACAGCCCACTAGTGGGGGCCTGAGTGTCCAGGGTCCCATGGCTGCTGCCTGGGGTAGGCAAGCCCAGAGGCAGACCTGGATTGGGGGGGGAGGGGCATGGTGAGAAAGAGCCACTCCTGAAGCCCTTAGTCACCTTCTCCTCTCCCCTACTCCTGGGGAGTGAATAGGGGGAAGAGATTTGGGGAGGATCCTTTGAGAAAGAGTTGGGGGCAAAGAGAAAAGTCTATAGGGAGAGAGTTGAGGTAGAGAGGAGAGTGAGGGGTAAGAGTAGGAAGAGAGAGAAGGTCAGTGGGAGAAGAGATGGGGGAGAAAGAAAGATTCCTAGGGGAATAGATGGGGCAGAAAGAAGGGTTAGGGAGAGAAGAGATGGAGACAGAGAAGAGTCAGTGGGGGAAGAGACCCACTCCATTTCTTTTATTGACCTAGCTATTAGTAGACCAGGTGAAGAATGTGGATATGATTTACCTACACTTTAGTCGAGCATTCCATCAAATACCTCATACTATTCTTGTAGACTTAGTGCCCTGGACTGTCTGAGTCACTTTTATTTTCTTACATTTTCCATGTATCCAGTAAAGAGCTCTCTTTCAAAGCCAACTCAATCTTATCATGAAATCGTACAATTAGATGAATTCAGAACTAGTTGAATGGCTAATCATCAGAGCAATCATCAATGTTTTGATGTCACCTTGACAGGAGGTGTCCAGCAGAGTGCCCCAGGGATCCGTGATGTTCTGGATTCTGTTAAATATTTTTATCACCTACTGGATTAAGGGCAAAGATGCCAAATCATCTAGCTTGGAGATGACAGTAAGCTGGGAGCTCTCTGTGTCTCTGTCTGTGTCTGTGTCTCTGTCTGTCTGTCTGTCTGTCTGTCTCTCTAAAAGTCGGGGTCTACAAGCTTGCCGACTGCTTCAAACATTAAATCAAAATGTAGAAGGTGAAATTTAAGGGGAGTAATTGCAATTTTGCACTTGAGCTCAAAAGGTCAGTTTCCCAAATAAAAAGTGGAAAGGCACAGCCACGCTACTATTCATCTGGAAAAGGTCTAGGGGCCACAGAGGATCACAATTTCATAGGAGGACCTGAGTAATGCCCCATTTAACTGCAATTTACTATGAATCCATACGATGAGAATGGAAGAGAAAGCTGTGTGGACGATGACATAAAGGAGAACTGTTTGGGTGCAGCCCTCCTCACTTCCCGCCTGGACTATGGCAGTAGCCCGAAGGGGGCGGCCTGCCTCGTCTGTCCCCCTAAATTCCATCCTCCATTCAGCCACGAAAGTGATCTTCCTAAAAGTGCAGGTCTGGCCGGGTCACTCCCCTACTACACAAACGCCACTGGCCCCCTATTGCGTCCAGAATCAAACACAAAATCCCTTGTCTGGCGCTCCAAGCCCTTCATGCCATAGCCACTCTCCCACCCTTCCAGCCTCCCTACGCTTATCTCTCCTCACCTACTCTTCCCAGCGACCCTGGCCTTCTGACTGTCCCATGAACAAGACCCTCCCTCTCTGGGCTTTGAGCTTCCTCTCTAGCTGTCCCCCATGCCTGGAGCACTCTCCCTCAGCCCTGCGTCCTGCTTTCCCCGTCTTCCTTTAAGTCCCTTCCAAAATTCCAATTTCTACAGGATGCATTTACCCCTCGCTTTGAATTCCTTTGTTAATGTTTCCTATGAATCCTTTCTCTAATTTGTCTGCTCACAGTTGTCGGCACGTGGTAAGCTCCCTGAGGGCAGGGACTGCCTTGCTTTCTATCCGCAGCGCTTAGCACCATGGCTGGCACCGTGTAGCGCTTAAAAGTTGACTGTCTGACCGACTTCGATTATTTGAAGTGCTGTCACATGCAAGGTAGGCTAGCCCTGAGCTGCCCAGGCAGAGTGGCCACCGGGTCAGAAGTGGCCCCGCGCTGGGAGCTGTCCAGCAGTGGAGTACTGTCTGGGGAGGCGAGGAGCTCCCTCCCACGGTCAGGGGATGCCTGGTCAGCCATGGTGGAGTGGGCACTCTGCTCAGGATGGGCTTGGAGTCGCCGCCTCCTGAAATGCTCCCCAGCTCTGGGGACCCTGCCCAGGAAGACACCCTGAGGGGGAGCTGGGGACCACAGAGCAAGGTCAGCAGGCCCCAGTGGTAGGGTGCATGGGGTGCCCGGGGAGATGACCCTGGGGAGAGAAGGGGTCTCACCGTCACACACAGCCCCTGCATCCTCTCGGTGGTGACAATCATGCTGGCCCCAGGGTCGGGCTGGGCAGAACCCCAGGGACGTCTCATTCCCCTTGCACCGCAGGTCATCCAGCAGGATGGGCCCAGCCCCCTCCCCAAAGAAGGCCCCTCCAGGGGCAGCTAGGGCACCGCCACAGCCCAGTTCTCTACAGGCCACGGCAGCATCCCGCAGGTCCCAGCCGTCATCACATACTGTCCCCCAGCGGCCTCCATGCCACACCTCCAGTCGCCCAGCACAGCCATTGGGACCCCCAGCCAGGCGCAAGCGGGGGGCTGGGCCTGGCGTGTGGGGAGAAGAAAGAGCAAAGGTCAGTCTGCACTGCTGTCTTCTTCATCCCCAGCTCAGCTCACTGTCCCCAATGCTGGGACTGGCTTGAGTCCCCAGCTTAGAAACTCTTGTCTGCTCTCCGTGCCCCAACCCACCACTCTTGTTTCCTCTCTGTGCCCCCAGCTGCCTACTCTCCCCCTTCCCATTCCAGTTAGTCGGTGTAGAGGGAGGGGAGAGACCATGAGGAAAGGGAGGAGAGGACCAGGGGGCTCTGAAGGTCAAGAACAGGGGATCCTCTGATGTCCTTGATCCCACCCCATCGGTCTGTTTCCCAATTATCTCTCTGCTCACTAGGATGGGTGAGGATGAGGATGAGGATGAGGATGATGTGTGAGGTTAGAGGGAGAACAGGGGTTGGCAGCACCAGGCATGGGGCTGAGGCTATGCTGGGGCGAGGGGTCTGATGGGTCCTCTGAGGCTAAGAAGAGATTATAGAAATGGAAAAGGTAGGGGTTGTCTGTGAGTCCCTTGCCTTAGAGACTGGAATAGCAAAGCTTGGAAAAGCCAGAGTCCCTCAACATTGTCTGGTCCAGCCAGCTCATTTTACAGATGGGGAAACCGAGGCCCAGACTCTCCTAAGGACCCACCCACCCCCAGCTGGGCAGTGGCAGGGCCACGGAGCAAGCAAAAACACAGGCCTTTCGGCCAGGAGGGTTGATTTGGGAGCCCCGGGACTCACCTTCACAGACCAGTCCGGCATCCTCTGTGTGGTCACAGTTGCTTCGTCCCCAAGGGCTCCGGGGACAGTCCTGGAGGGCCTGCTCCCCACCTCCGCAGCCCACATCATCCATCCAAACGGGGCCCGACCCTTCCCCAAAGCGGGCCCCTCCAGGGGCGGCCAGGGCTCCCCCACAGCCCAGCTCCCTGCAGGCCACGGCAGCATCCCGCAGGTCCCAGCCGTCGTCACACACCGTCCCCCAGCGGCCCCCGTGCCACACCTCCAGCCGCCCAGCACAGCCGTGGGGCCCCCCTGCCAGGCGCAGACGCTCTGCCGAGGAGGGACCCAGTGAGCCAGGCCTTCATCTAAGCCCTGCTGGTGCCTGGGGCCCTGAGGGATCGGGGGCCAGGAGGCAGAGGCTCATCTCCCTGAGGAGAGTGAAAACTGGGGGCTCGCCCGCATGGGGTTGGCTGGCTGCTCTTGGTGGGCCACGTTTTCTGGGGAGCCGTGGACCCGAGGGGACACCCAGCAGGGACCAAGGAGGCAGACCCCCAGTTCCTGACACCTGTAAGCTGAGTCCCTGAGTGGGGGGGGGGCTGACGGCGGACATAACAGATCATGTGTGTAGCCGTTTAAGGGCTGCGCAGTGGTTACAGAGCCGGCTGACATAAGATGCCAGGGTCTTTGCAGAGGCAGAAGCCAGAGAGATAGACATCTGGGTGCTGGGGGGGGGCGGGGGCTGGGGAGTTGGACACGTAAGCCCCGGGGAGCTGGGGCAGGCAGAATGAAGGGAGGTAAGAAGCAAAGGTGTGCATCCATCGACCCCACGAACATTGCTAATGGTACCCAGTCTAGTCTTGGCTGCGGACTGGGTGGAGGGGGTGAGGGGAGTCAGCTCTATCTAGGAGGGCCACGGGGTGGTCACTCACCCTGTCGGGAAGCACTGGAAGTCAGCAGAGGGGCCTGGGTGGCCTTTGGCAGCTTGGGGGGCCGAGGGGCCTTCTGCGGGCTGCTTGTCGGGTTCCCAGCTAGGGGAGGGGTGAATGAGGGGAGGGGAGGGGAGATGTAAGTGTCAGGCTCTGCAGATCCTGCAGACGGAGATCTTGGGGCCTCACCTGGGGCCGTTGGGGAGCCCTCAGACCACAGCTCCCGGTCCAGGGGCTCTGTTGAATCTGGCCTCGAATTGGTTGCCCGCTGACCTGTAGGGAGTGGGCAGATTCGGAAGAGCTGGAGGAGGCCCGGGGCTCTTGAGGAAGGGGGTGGTGCTTAGTGGGAAGGGGCCGGGGAGCTCCAATGCCTGGCTTCGCGAGGGAGGTGGGAAGTTAGACCCACACACAGTGTTAGATACTTAGGAGTGCCATGCCTGAGTTCTTGGATACCTGCACCTCGGAGAGGGTCAGGACTGGGAGAGGAAAGAGCAGGGGCCCTGAGCGGCTGGGGGCTCTCACCTACACAGACGAGGCCAGCGTCCTCCTCATGCGAGCAGATGTGTGCCTTCCAGCCCCTGTGGCGACAGAGGCTCAGCCTGCTCTCGGACCCCCGACAAGCCAGCTCACTCAGCCAGACAGGCCCGATTCCCTCTCCAAAGAAAGCCCCTGCGGGGGCGGCCAGAGCTCCTCCACAGCCCAGCTCCCTGCAGGCCACGGCAGCATCCCGCAGGTCCCAGCCGTCGTCACACACCGTTCCCCAGCGCCCCCCGTGCCGCACCTCCAGCCGCCCAGCACAGCCGTGGGGGCCCCCCGCCAGGCGCAGCCGCTCTGCCGAGGGGGGCCCAATGAGGAGGGACCCTCATCTAGCCTAGCTACCCTAGGCTTTTGAGGGGGCCGGGGGCACTAAATACTTGGATTGCTGAAGAGGCAGGTAGGAGTCCTGGAAATCTTTATTGCTAAGGAACTGGGGACTGGGATGCCAGTTCCTGGATGCCTGAGAAGAGTTGAGTCTTACGAGATCAGACACCTGAGTCCTTGAGAAAAGCTAGGTGGCTGAGGGGAGCAGGGCCTGGGAAATTCAAAGTCTGAGTCACTGAGGGCTTGGGTTCAGGGTTGGAGAACTGAGACGGGCTAGGAAGCTGGACGCCTGGGTCCCTGTCCAAAGAATGGGTTGGAGATCCTGGGGTGCTGAGGGGGTCTGAGTCCCTGGGAAACAAACATGTTGCTGAGGAGGGCGGGGCTGGGTGGCTGGATACTGGGGTCCCTGTTGGGGAGGGGGCCCCTGGGATCCCACACTTCTACGTTTGTGATGGGCAGGGTAGTGGCTGCAAGAGACTCCTGGACTTCTGAGGGGGTGGTGAGGATTGGGGAGGGGGGATCCCCGGGTTCTCATGAACAAAGAATGAAAAGCCTAATGTAGAGATCCCTGTGGGCTACTCCACGGTAGCCAGGATGCCTGTCTCCCCAAGGCAACCTGGGGGAGCCAGTGAGGGAAAGGGAGAATCCAGTGGGCTCCAGAGCTCAGGAGTCAGGTGGTGATAGGGAGAATCAAAGGGCATGATGATGGGGAAGGAGAAGGGGACCCAGGGAAGACTCACCCACAGCCTGAATCCCCATCAGAACAGCTGGAAAAGAAATGAGGGAGATAAGGGGAAGGTGAGGAGTCCTCGCCCCATCACCATTTCAGAGGAGATACTAAGGGATCTGGATCAGCTTTCTAGAGCCTTGATAGGGACCAGGATTCACAAAGCATTGGGGGAGGGTCTGGATTCCAGGTTTCTGTATGAGGTAGGGCAGGGGACTGGATGCCTGGATCTCAGAACCCAGTGGGAAGGACCTGACCCCTGGATTTCTGACCAGAGGAAATGGAACCCCAGTTCCTGTGGGAACAGTTCCGAAAAAGCTGGGGACCTGCAGCCTGGCTTCCAGGAAAACCTCAACTTTTGGACCCCTGAAGGGGATGAGACCTGGACACTGCAGGGGAACAAGGGTAAGTTAGTGCTGAGGCTGTGGCTGCCTGGGCTCTGGAGGAGGGAGCAGGAAACAGGGAACCCTATTTCTGGATCCCTGAAGATGGTGGGGGACCAGATGTCTGGATCTCTCTTGGTGGACGGTGGCAGGCTGCTGAATCTTGAGTCTCTGAAACTAACGGAAACTGACCTTCTAGGGCTGCGGGGAGTAGCCAGAAGGGCAAAGTGTATGCTGGGGGCCAGGACTCCCATGTCCCCTGAAAGGGAGAAGTGAGAACTCCCAGATGCCCAGGAGCTGGGGTCAGCAGGAGGCAAGGGCTGGGGACAGAGACCTCTGGGTCTCTGCGGTCACTCACCAAGGAGGCAGGCCAGGACCCTCATCTCTGCAGAGCAAGCCCCTAGGACCCAGGCTGGGGGGGCTGGGGGTGGGGCAGGGGGGGGAGAGCAGACGAGGTCGATGAGGAGAATGAAGAGGAGGAGGAGGAGGAGGCAAAAGCTGAGGGGAAGTGCCGGCAGCGCCCTGGACCGAGGAGGGGCAGGCAGGCGGGCGGGGGCTGGGGACACGCCGGCACCAGGAAGAGAGGAGAACAGCGGAGGAGGCAGCGGGGGACCAGGAGGGGGCTGAGGAGGAGGCGTGGGGGAATGGGGGGTCAGATCCGTAAACACCCACTGGAGGCTGGCCCCAGACACTTCGGGCGCTGGGCTGGGAGACCTGCCAGAGGGGGCTGATGGCTGAGGGGCTGGAACAGCCTCTGGCCCTCGGGCTTTGCTTCAGTGTGCCTCTCTCTTCTCTCGGGGTCCCCGCTGTTTCTCTGTGTATGTCCTTCGCTCTGGGTGTCTCTATTGCCTATCTCTTGAGGTCTCTGCTCATGCCCTGGCCTCTCTGGGGCTTTATCACTATCTCCCACAGCAGACTGGCTGCCCTGCCCTAACCCACCACCCACTGCTACTGGGGGAGAGGGGCCTGTTGGGATGTCTGGATAATGGTCCAAACCACGGGGCTCAGCCTCCAGCCAAGAGCCATTTGTTGGACAGGAGAAAGAACTGCTGGGTCGGAGAGTGGGCAGAAGACAGGAGCTGCAGGTCCCTCTCCATGGCTGACTTGTCCTGAGACAGGGGGAAGGCTAGGCTGCCCTGACATAGCCCCAGGAGCGAAGGGGCGGGGAGACAGAGTGGCTTGGCCCAGCTCGGGGCTGGAGGGGAAGGAAGGGGAATGGGGCGGGGGCAGACACTTGGCCCCCAAGCTCAGCAGGCAGATGTGGGGCGGAAAAAATGTGCTAATGGGGAGCGTGAGTCATCAAGGTTGGCAGGGGATGGGCCCTGCAGCCTGAGCTCATCCCCGCCTGCCTGGGGCCTGGGGCCTGAGGCCAGGGGGGGAGTGAGGGGCAGCAGTGGCTCAGACCTCCCTTCCTCTCTCTGGCCTCCACCTCCCCCAATATTAATGTAGCTCCAGGGCCAGACAGGCCTTGGAAAGGGGGCTGGTGGGCCTGGAAAAGGCATCAGAGGGGGTGGGAGGCAGGCAGGAGTTTCAGAGTTTATTAACAGTGGGTATAAAAACAGATGTGAGGGGAAAGGAGGGATGGGAGGGAAGAGAAGGACCCAAGGCAGAGAGGGAGGGTCATCTCAAGGTGTGGGGGAGCCCCAGGGGCAGCAGGAGAGGGAGAAGTCACTGTGTGTGTCATCAAAGCAGAGGGGAGTTGTCCAGGCCTCCAAGGAGAAGGGAGTCCAACCCCACTGGAGGGTCCCCAGAAAGGTGGAAGATCATCGAGGGCCCTTGGTCAAGGACGCGGGGTGGGGGGGCGAGGGAGCTCTGAGGCTTGCTCCCCTTGCTCAGAGGGGCCCAATGGTCAGCTGAAGGTCAGCTGAGGGGGAGGGGCAGGAGATTCCAGGTCCGCAGGGGCCTTCACTGAGTCTGAGGGAAGGATGTCTGAGGGGCCACCCGGGAAGGGACTTCTGGGAGCAAAGGGGACGAGAACCTTGGGAGATCTTGGCAGGGCACAGAACCATCTGAAGGGGTGCAGGGAAGGTGAAGAGGCTGACTCGGGGGGCCAGAGGGCAGAGGCCCCCAAGGGCTGCTGGAGGTGCAGGGGGAAGGGAGGGTGGGGGCAGATTGCCTGAGGACCCCCACAGAGGGCAGGGGGGGATCATCTGAGAGTCACTGGTATAAAAAAGGAGCAGCTTGAGGGTGGGCCAACGGGGATTCCCCATGTTTAATCCTGTGAGGTGGGCAGTTCAAGTGTCCTTTCCCCCATTCCCTAGAGGTGAGACCCAGAGGGAAGAAGAGCCAGGCCCAGGGTCACGGACTGGGCTAGAGCCAGAGCTGAGGCTTGAGAGCGGGCAGGTGTCCTGAATGGCAGCCTGTCCTCCGTGCCCGCTGCACCAAGGCCAGGGTGTGGAAGGGACACAGCAGGCGTCAGAATTCTTTCATGAACTCCCTCACAAAGGTGTGACCCATCCAACCCCAGCCTCCCTCGGGATGGTAGCCTCTTCCCTCCAGGAGGGCAGTGGCCCCTCGGGCTCCCACTGGAGCAGGGACTATGAGCTTGGCTCGAGGGCCCCCGGCCTGGCGGGCCCATGCCCGGGCTTGGGCCTCAGCGAAGGCCAGCAGCTTCGTGCCCACGCCACGTCGACGGTGCCAGCGGGCCACGGCCAGGCGAGCTACAGACAGGCTGCCTCTGCTGGGGCCGGGCCTCAGGGCCAGGACCCCACACACATCATCAGTTCCCCACACAGCCACCCAGGGGCCTCCTAGGCCAGAGTCTGAGGGGAGCGAACCCCATCGCATCCGCACCATCAGCTTGAGGGCAGCCACAGCCAGGGCAACGGGCAAAAGCAGGGCCAGGGCGAAGGAGGCCAGGACAAAGCGGAGGCCACTGCTGGCAGCAGCCAGGAGCAGGAGGGCAGGGGGCCGAGTCAGGGCATGGAGGGCCACGCGGTTCTCTGTGTCCTTCACCCCATCCTGAGAATAAAGGGGCAGAAGTCAGGGCACAAAGAAAGAGAGACGGCTGCTCATTGGTGGGGAGACAAGTGGGGAGGAGCTGGTGGGAGAAGCCTAGTGAGGATGCGGAAGGGGTGGAGCCAGGGCTGGTGAGGACACCCACTGAGGGAGCCTCTGGTGACAGGGCTGGGTCAGCACTGGAGAATAGGGTCCAGGGGGCCACTGAGGCAAAGGGGCTGGTGGGAATACTCAGGGTGCAGATCAGCCAGCCATCAAGCTTTCATGAAGCACCTACTACGTGTCAGGCACTGTGCTAAGTGCTGGGGAGGTTTCTGGGAACCAGAACACTTCGGGAGGGCTTTGGGAGGCACGGTGGGAGGGAGGGGCAAGGGTCCAGGGAGAGAAAATACATTTCTGTTCATTGAAAATAAATCAAATGTAAAAATGTGAAGGGGAGTGGCTGGTGAACTGGAGGGAGGGGTTGGGCAAGAGCTGTTGGAGACACTGAGTAAAAGTCTGCGGGAGAGGGGTGGTGATCATGGAGGGAACCTCAAGAGAGGCAGGATGGTGGGGAAGGGCAGATGGAAAGCCAGCAGAGGATAAGGTTCTGGGGGGATCCTGAGCAGAATGTGAGGTGGCCACAACGTGGGGCTGACATTGAGAGGAGAAGGAAGGAGCCTGAGGGAAGGGCCCAGGAGAGACCTGAGGAAGATGGGGTAAGCCCATGAGGAAGGGGAGGGAGCGGCCCGTGGGAACACTGGGAAGGGAAGGGCTTCTGGGGGCCTGGGGGGGAGGGGATGGCCGGACTGCTGAGGAGGAGGGGAACAGAGGAGTGGCAGTCTGCAGAGAAGGGTTCCTCTTTCCTCCCTAGGTCTGCAAGAAAGGCTGAGCTGGTTCTCCCGCCTCAGTCTCCTCTGTTGCGTCACTGTCCGCATCCCAGGCCTTGCCTGTGGCTATACACACCTCACGGCTCTGTCCATGGCGCCCCCTTCCCTGGCTCTCTTGGCATCCTCAACAGCTCTCACGGTTCAGCACTCAACCCTACGCCAATGCCCCCAAGACCTCAGGCTAGCCTCCCTCTCTTTCCTGATTGTCCGGCTGCATGTGCCGTGGGCATCGGATTCAACGTGTCCAAAGCGGGACTCATCTTCCCCGCTCTATGACCTCACTCGGTGACCTCATCTGCTCCCATGGATTCAATGACCAGCTAGATAGAGATGCCCAGGACTCCCAGATCTAGGTATCCAGCCCAAGCCTCTGGGCTGACCCTTGATCTCCCATCTCGGAAGTCTCGGACATCTCAACTCAACATGCCCCAGACCCAGCTCATTATCTTTCCTCCTCAGCCTTTACCCCTCCTACTTTCCCTATTACTGTAGAGAATACCATCCCCCTCCCGGGCCCTCAGGCTTGAAAACTAGGCGACATCCAGGACTCAGTGCTGCTTGTCACCCCCATATCCAAGTCCTGGCCAAGGTCTATTTCACCTCCTCTACCTCCCAATCCCTTCTCTCTGACCCTGCCCCCACCCTGGTGCAGGCCCTCATCCCTTCCCGCCCGGACTGTGGGACTGAGCTGCTGGGGGGTCAGCCTGCCTCGGGTGTCTCTCCAAACTCCCCAGTCCATCCTCCCTTTGGCCACCAAAGGAATTTTCCTAAAGTGCAGCTCCCATCATGCTACCTCTCCTCCTCAGGAAACTAAAGTGGCTCCCTATTGCCTCCAGGGTCAAATGGAAAATGTTTGGTTTTTAGAGCCCTACCCCCACCTTTTCAGTCTTCTTACACCTTGCTCTTCTCTATCTACAGACAATAAGGTGGCTCAGTGGATAGGGCGCTAGGCCTGGAGTCAGAAAGACAAGTTCAAATCTGGCCTCGGACAGTTATTAGCTGGGCAGGTCACTTAACCCTGTTTGCCTCAGTTTCCTCAACTATAAAATAGGATGAAGAAGAATCAAATGAGATAATTGTAAAGTGCTTAGCCCCGCATCATAGATATGCTCATCCTCGTCCCTTCCGCATAATCTGCTGTGTCTCAAATAGGCCATCTTCCTACTGTGGGTATTTTCACTGATCTCCCACGTCTAGAGCTCTCCCTCTGTTCATTGCTGCTTCCTGGATTCCTTCACATCTCAGCTGAAGCCTGACTTTCTCCAAGGAGCCCTTCCTGGTCCTCCTCCACCTTGTCTTCCCTCTGTTATTATCCCCAATATCCTGTTTGCGCATTGTCTTTTCCATCAGACTGAGAGCTCTTCTGGGACAGAGAATGGGTTTCTTCTTTCTTTGTGTACCAAGAGCTTAACAGTGCCTGGCAACTCGTAGCTTACTAAACGCACACTTACTTGTTGACTTTTCCCACAAATCTACCCCTCTTCCAAACTGGCACCACCATCCTCCTGGACACCCCAGGGACTCCTCACTCTCATTCAGTCACCATGTATTGCTTATTCTTCTGGGCAGTGCTCAGATACTAAGCTCTAGAAGGCTGACGTAAGTGGCAGTAATTAGAAGTACCACTCAAAGAAACAAATATGTCTTCCTACCTCTCACTGCGACCCAGAGGAATAAGAGAAAGCCATAGCTGGGATATGGCTGGATGAGTGTTACTCCTCCAAAAGAAACAGAATGTGTCAAAAGGGTAGCACTGGGTAGCTATTTTAACTAATTTCTTGTGAACAAACTTAATGGTCACTAAATAGAAAGAAATGAGAAATGAGCTTCTGTTACACAATTTCTTTTGCTAAGAAGATAAAGGTAGCCCAGGATGTTAAGAAACTATCTTCATGTAGACCAGAGTGGGGAAGGGTGACGGAGTGGTTGGGTGAAGGTCATCGGAGGGAAGAACAGAGGAGATGTTGTCACTGGAGTATAGGTACTATAGACCATCTGGACAGAAGGAGAAGTTAGATGAATGGCTTGGAAAACTGGTCACAAGCCAGGCACCAAGGTGAGATACAGTAGTGATGAGGGACTTCCAAGATTCAGATATCTGCTAAAGCGCTCTCTCTCTCTCTCTCTCTCTCTCTCTTCTCTCTCTCTCTCTCTCTCTCTCTCTCTCTTTACTAAAAGGAGATCAGCTACTGATGAGTTCTTGACTGGCTTTAGTGATAATTTCATCCTCTTCCAAGGAAAATACTATTCTGAATATGATTCACACTGATAGGTGGAACTAGTAGTTGGGGAGGAAATGATGGAACCCCAGGACAAAGTAACCATTCTACCTTAAAGCTTGTGACTGAGGAGAGGAATACCAGGTACAGCCTGGAATGAATGCCTAGATTTCAGGAAAGCACATTCAGAATGGTTCAAAAGAAGGTTAGTACGGATCTCATGGTGTAAATGCTCAGATATAAACAGGACATTCCAATGAGGAGAAAAATAAGATTTGTTTGCAAAGGGAGCTCACTGCCCAACCTAGATTCTTGGAAGAAATGTACAAGAATAAGGTCAGATGACAGAATGACTGTAAGAGTGTAACAAAGTCCTCTATGAAGAATCTGTATCTGGGGGCAGCTAGGTGATGCAGTGGCTAGCACACCAGCCCTGGAGTCAGGAGGAGCTGAGTTCAAATCCAGCCTCGGACCAGACACTTGACACTTACTAACTGTGTGACCCTGGGCAAGTCACTTAATCCTGATTTTCTCACAAAAAAGAACATTTTTAAAAAATGCTAAAGTTCAGGGGGAGGTAAGGACACTAAAGGGCTCCTTTAGCTATAGAGAGGAGCGTCAAAGAAGAAATGGGAAAGGGTGCTTTGCTTGGGGCAGCCAGGACAATGATAGCTTCTAAGTGCTCATTTTATCTGCCAAGGAGGATGACCCTGGCTCTGGGAACGAAAGGTCCCAAACGGCTGACAGGGAGTAAGACTCACGATCAATAAGGAAAAAGCTACCCTTGATGAACTCAAGCCATGTGGGCCAGAGGAACTCCATCCTTGAGTCCTGAGAGATCTGGCAGCTGCGACGGCCAAAACTCTCTCAGTGACATCTGAAAGCTGGTGGAAATGGGTCTGCAAGGCCAGAGGGGGTGAATGTTGTCATGATTTAAAAAAAAAAAAGGAAGAGAACAGAATCTGAGAATGATAAGCCAGGAGCTTGACTTGGATTCCTAAAAAACCTCTGGAACAGCTCACGAAAGGGATGGCTATCTCAAAAGCGGAATGCTGGGCGTTACAAAGAGATAATACAGCTCCATCATGAACATCCATAGTTCTGATATCCATGATAGACATGGAATGGATTCCAATCGTTATGAAAAAAATAAGTAACGGGATCAAATGAAATAATCTTTGTAAAGCACTTAGCACAGTGTCTGGAACGTAGCAGACGCCACATAAAAGCTGATTCCCTTCCTTCTTCCTTTCCCTTCAAAGGATTGGAAGAGGCCATTTGCAAAGGAAGAAATCCAAGCTATCAACAGACATACGCAAAAATGCTCCAAATCACTCTTAATTAGAGAAATGCGATTTTTAAAAAAGGTGATATTCTATTTCATATCCATCAGACTGGCAAAGATGACCGAAAGGGAAAATAATAAATGGTGGAGGGACTGGGGAAAAACGGGCATTTGGTGGCATTGTTGGAGCTGGGAATGGGTCTGGCCATCCTGGAAAGCAATTTGAAATCTGTCCCCCAAAGTCATTAAGCTGTGCCTACCCTTGACCCACACTACTAGACCCCAAGAAGATCAAAAAAAGAGGAAAAAGATCCATAGGTACAAAAACATTTCGCAGCTTTTCGTTATAGTAAAGAACAGGAAATCAAAGGGATACTCATCCATTGAGGAATGGCTGAACAAACTATGATACGCAAATGTAATGGAATATTAATGTGGCATCAGAAATGCCTAAAGGAATAGTTTCAGAGAAACTGGGAAGAATTGCACGAACAAACAAAACTGAACAGAACAAAGGGAGCAGCATCCGAAGAACAATTTCTACAATAACAACAATCTTGTGAAGAGAATCAACTCTGAAAGACATGAGAATTCTGATCGATGCAATGATCCACCACCATGCCAGAAAACTGACGAGGAAGTGCGAGACTGACCTGCTGGCATGGGCGATGGACATTTCCAGATACAGTCAACTGCAGATGGATTCTGTTTGACTCTGCATATTTGACACAAGGATCTTACTTTTTAAAGTGGGGCAGAAGGCGTCTAGGGGAGAAGAGGGCTAGTGATCGGATTGCCAACGCTTATAAAAGAAAATGGTCATTCCGGAATAACCTCATTTCCTTTTGGGGCAAAATTATTAAAATGGTAAGTGGAGAGAATGCTGTGACTCTAGCTTCTGAAGCATCAGGTAAAATTGCCCACACTATTTGGGCAACAAAGATGGAGAGGAGAGGATACTAGTCAGATGGCTTCAGAGGTGGCTGGATGATGGGACTCAAGAAGTGGTTGTTTAAACTCGGAGGTACCACATCCCACCCATCAGATTGGCCAACATGACAAAACAGGAAAATGATAGATGTTGGAGAAGATGTGGGAAAATTGGAACACTGATACATTATTGGTGGAATTGTGAACTGATCCAACCATTGTGGAGGGCAATTTGGAACTATGCCCAAAGGGCTATAAAACTGTGCATACCCTTTGACTCATCAATAGCACTTCTAGGGCTATATCCCAAAGAGATCACACAAATGGGAAAAGAACTCACATGTACAAAAATATTCAGAGCAGCTCTTTTTGTGGTGGCAAAGAATTGGAAATTGAAGGGATGTCCATCAGTTGAGGAATGGCTGAACAAGTTGTGGTATATGAATGTGGTGGAATTCTATTGTGCTATAAGAAATGATAAGCAAGCCGATTTCAGAAAAATCTGGAAAGACTTGTATGGTCTGATGCTGTGTGAAGTGAGCAGAACCAGGAGAACGTCGCACACAGTAACAGCCATGTTGTGCGATGACCAGCGTTGATAGACTTAACCCTTCCCAGCAATACAAGGATCTAAGGCATCTCCAAAGGCCTCGTGATGGAAAATGCTGTCCACATCCAAAGAAAGACTATGGAGTCTGAATGCAGATGGAAGCAGACTATTTGCCATTTTTTTCTTCTGTTTTGTTTTGTTTCCTCTTTCTGGTGGTTCCTCCTATTGGTTCTAATTCTTCCTTACAACATGAATAATGTGAAAATATGTTTAATAGGAATGTATATGTATAGCCTATATCAGACTGCATGCCGTCTTGGGGAGAGAGGGGGCAGGGGGAGACAAATTTAAAACTCAGAAGCTTATAAAAGTGATTGTTGATAAATCAAAATAAATTAATTTTAAAAAAGTGGTTGTTTATAGTTCAACAAAAAACAGTCTCCAGTGGAATGCTCCAGGGATCTGCCTGGGGCTCCAGGCTATTTCATGTATAACTTGGATAAAGTGGATGCCATGCTCCTCAAACTTGGAGACCACACGGAGCAAGGAGGGATAAGTGGCCCTCGGGAGGATGGTCAGGATTCAAAAGATTCTGACAGGCTCAAAAACCGGACTTATGCTAAGAAGAGGAAACTCAACAGGGATAAAGTAAAATCATCACCTTAGGCAGCCAAGGTGACAAGGACAAGACGGGAGGGGCCAGGGCTAGGTGGCAGTTTGTCAGAAAATGATCCCAGGGGCTTAGTGAACCACAAGCTCAATGGAAATCAACAGAAGGAGGGGGTAGCCAAAACGCATCTGGGCTTAGTGGGGAGAGCCACGGACCGGGAAGGAGGAGGTGATAACCCATGTGCTCTGCTCATCTAGACAAGGCTGGATCTGGAGTACTCGGTTCCCTTCCAGATGGAGCCATTAAAGAAGATAATAATAAATCAGAGGAGATCACGATTTGGGGCAGCCAGGATGCTGGAGGCCCTCCAGGTCATGCTCCAGGAAGACTAGCTATAGGACTGGGGACATTTAGCCCAGAAAAAGGATGTCTGAGGAGGATGGAGAGAGGTTAAGGACAGGCAGGAGGAGGGAGCTCCTGAGGGAAGGCTCAGAAGAGCTGCGGAAAGCCTGATTCAGGCTCCAGGAACAGCTCCCTTCCTGGGAGGCTCACCAAGGAGAATGCAGAGCTGCCTCCAAGGCAAAGGGCTCCCTTCATTGAGGGGCTTCAGACAAGGGCTGGGGAATTCCCATTAGCCAGGGGAGGAGCTGGCGGCTGGGGCCCAGGGCCCTGGAATCCTCAGATCCTGTCCCACTCTTCTCTCCCCTTGGCAAGAGCCTCCTCACTCCTGCCTCAAGGAGAGTGGTCCTCCTTTCTTCCCTTCTTTCCTTCCCTTCCCCTCTCCAATCCATCCTCTGCCCTGTTGCTGACATCTGGATTTTCCTAAAGTACAGCTCAGATCAATCACCCCCTGCTTGAGTCTCCAGGTGCTCCTTGTCGACTCAGGGATAACATTTAGACTTTTCGGTTTGATATTTAAAGTCCTTGGAAATGTGGCATCGACTTACTGCACTCCAGCCGAACTGGACAGCTTACTGCTCCCAGAACACCAGATGCCAGTTCCTACCTCCTTGCCTATGCCCTGGCTGTACCTCCTGCCTGGGATGTCCACCTTCCTCCCCTCTGACTCAGCTCTAGCACCATTCCCCATTCCCATTCCATCCCATCCATGCTACTTTGTAACATCTTTGTGACATACTTTAGCTACTTTGTAGGTTTCCTGTCTGTGCCCAGAATGTAAAGCAGTTTGGGGTCAGGACAGACGTGTGTGTGGAGAGAGACTGGGTCTAGCCCTTGTACCCCCGAGACCTAGCACAGTGCCTGGCCTGGCTCGTAGCGGGCTCTTAGTACTCTCTTGCAGAATGAATGAGATGAATAAACGAATGGTTCCGTGGGGTCATGTTAAGAGGCTGGGGGTGTGGGTTGGGGCGTGGGGGAGACTGCCGATGAGGGGCTCGTTGGGGCCCGGGAAGGGGGGGGTAGGTCGGGGCAGTATGTGGCAGGGATCTGCCGGCCTACTGGGGGGAGGGGCTGGTGGGAATTTGGGGGAGGGGTGGCCTGGTTCAGCCACAAGGCGGGTAAGGGTTGCAGCGGGATGGTGGCAATTGGTGGTAGCATGGGGGGGGAGGGCCTAGTGGTCACTTTGTGGTGCGGCCCCTGTGGGGGCACATGGAAAGGAGGAGGCTGTGTGGCTTAGGGCAGGCCCAGGGCTTGGGCCGGGGTCAGGGTCGGGGCTACCTAGCCCGTTGCCCTCCCCCTCCCTTCTCTTCCCCGCCTCCCCTATGCCTTGGACCTTCAGCAGCTCCACGATGAGGGCTTTCTCCTCCTCCCGCATTTGCCTCACGGACAGGTGGTTGGGGGCCATGTCACCCCTGCGGGCGCCCCCGCAACCCCGGGAGCCGAAGGTCCGTCTACCTGCGGGAGAACGGGAGGCAACCCCCCCCCGCGAAGTCGGTAATGGTTCCTTCCCCAGATGTCCTCCCCCTCCCTTTGAAGATAATAGTACCTCCCCCGGTGACCTCCTCCGCCTAGGCAGCACCCGGCGCCCCCTCCAACAATGGCATCGCCCGGGTGCCCATGTCCCCTCCACTCCAGTAAGCAATGGTCCCACCCGCCCCGCCCCTGCAGGGGGCGGCCACCTCCACCGAGGAAAGGACCCGCCCAGCTCAGGGACACCTCCAACCCCACCCCCACTCCCCTCTGTCTTGAGGACAGTCTCGGAAGCGGATGGAACATTCCATTCTGGAAGGGTGTGGGGGGGGTGTTACCTGCCAGGCGTATGGAGAGGGAGGGGGGTGGGAAGGGTCAGCTGGAGAAGCTGCAGGGTGGGTAAGTGGGACATCTCTCGGCCACAATCCCAAGCGCTGAAGCTGAAGGGGTGCTTTGAGATCAATTTAGCCAACCACTGCCCCCCTCCCCCATTTTACAGAGAAGGAAACTGAGGCCCTGTCTCCCGATGGGATGCCTCTGCTGTACCTCGAGAAGTGACTTGCCCAAGGTCTCAGGGCGAGTTCGTGAAAGGGGGTCAGGGGTGGGGATGAACTGAGCACGAAGAGGGATGCAGCACTCACCAGACTCGGGAGCCTCGGAGGACGCATCATCTCTATCACTTCCCGCCCCGGGGAGTGGGGTTGCTAAGCAACTCCCCAAGGGAGCTCATTGGCTCTGGCCTCAAGAGCAGCATGGGATGGGAGGATGGGGAGTGCCCTAAGTCAGCCACCCGCCCCTTCCCAGCCCGCCTGCCTCCTCTTCCCCAGCAGGAGGGAAATCTCTATAGTCAGTTTCCCCATCTGCAAGAGGCGGACCCCTCAAGCTCTGGCCATGACCCATCCCAAGCCCCCATGGAATGACAAAACCGCAGGCCATAGACATTTAGCTCTTTATTTTACAGAGTGGGAAACGGAGGTCCAGCACCCCCAGGCAAGGGAGTAGCCAGGCAGGACCCTATGAAAAGGGCATTAATAAACGCTGGGAAGACCAGCCTGGAGGGTGCGGCTGCACAAGCCCTCTGCCTGATCCCAATGAAGAAGACGAGGGCGAGGCTTCTTTACTGGTACCTGCGCCCCCAGCTGAGGCTGAGGAGGACAGGCCAGCCCCATCAGAAGGTGTGCACCAGCTGCACCGCGGGCAGGGCCTGGACTATGTGAATAGACGGCAGCCCTGGCTGGCCAGCCCCGCCAGGGGGCCCCGCCACTGCCCCGGGGACCATCTGGACAACCTGTGGGCTAGGCCCAGCGGGAGCCCCTGGGGGCACAGGGGCTGGGCTGGGAGGCGGGGCCAACAGCTGGAGAGGTGCTCCTGGCACATTCTCTACCAGGTCTGAAGGAGCTGCTGGGGCACTGCGGATAATGAGAAGTTTCTGAGCCTGTGGGCCCGGGGCAGGGGACTCAGCCAGCCCTGGAGGGAGGGTCTCCACCCCCTGCACACAAAGCCTGGTCTGCTCACCGTCAGCCCCACTCAGTACCAGGACACTCTGCAGGCCCTCTGCAGTCTGTAATGTCTCAAAATGCACATCCTGGACCACAGTGCCAGTGCTGCCCCCACCCCCATCACCTGAGCCAGCATCTCCTCCAGGCCCAGGGGCTGTCAGTAGCTCCTCACCTGCCCCCCCCTGCACCACAAGCAGATTCTGAGCCTCTGCTGGCCCAGCGGGTGCCCCGGGGCTGGCCACTGCCTGGAGCTGCAGGGAAACATCCGGGGTGGGAGGCAGAGGCTGCAGCTGGACCGCGGTCACTTCCTGTGTGGGCTGCAGGGGCTGCAGCTGGACCGTGGTCACTTCCTGTGCAGGCTGCAGGGGCTGTAGTTGGACTGTAGTCACCTCCTGGGCGGGCTGTAGTTGGACAGCAGTCACTTCCTGCGCAGGCCTGAGAGACTGTAGCCGAACCCCACTTGTTTCCTGTGGCCCCACCTCTCCACTGGCCACACTCTGTAGGACAATGAGGCTTTGTCCCCCGCCTCCGGCAATGCTGCCCCCACCTCCCTGTCCCCCAACTGGCCCAGGCCCAGGGAGCCAGACCAGCCCAGGCCCTTGGCCCTCCCTCCCGCCATTCTTGGGGCTCTTTCGGGCCCTAGCCCCAGAGGCTGGCAGCAGGATGACCTTGGGTGGGGCTGGGGGTGGAGGGGGCGTGGGTCTGGGGGGCTGGACGCTGCTGGGGATGAGCTGGAGGCCCTGGGCTGTCTGGACGAGGAGGAAGGTCTGTGAGTTGGCCGGGCTGGGCCCGGCCTCTAGCGACAGCGTAGCCTGAAGGTGGGGTACCACGTGGACATCCTGGGTGGTGGTGGCTGCGGCTGGGGCCGGGGCCGGGGCGAGAGCTGGGGCTGGGGCGTGTGTCCGCAGGTGGCGCTGGAGGTAGGCGGCCATGACGAAGCCGCGGCCGCAGACCGTGCAGGCGAAGGGCCTCTCGGCCGAGTGCGTCCGCTGGTGGAGGAGCAGGTTGGAGGAGTGCGTGAAGGTCTTGGGGCACAGCGGGCAACGGAAGGGCCGCTCACCCGTGTGCACCCGCTGGTGCTGCCGCAGGTTGGAGGTCTGCGCGAAGCTCTTGCCGCAGACACCGCAGGAGTGAGGCCGCTCGCCCGTGTGCACGTGGCGGTGGCGCCGCAGGCACGACGTGTTGCGGAAGGCCTTGCCGCATTCCCCACAGGGGTAGGGCCGCTCCCCCGAGTGCAGGCGCAAGTGGTACTGGTAGTGGGAGGACCACTTGAACGTCAGGCCGCATTGGGCGCAGGTGAAGGCGCGCAGGCCCGTGTGCACGCGCTGATGGATGGCCAGCAGCGAGGAGCGCTTGAAGGCTTTGCCACACTCCCCACAGGGATAGGGCCGCTCCCCGGTGTGGTCGCGCATATGATAGCGCAGGCCCGAGGAGCCCTTGAAGGCCTTGCCGCACTCGGCACACTTGTAGGGCCGGTCGCCGGCGGGCGCCGGCGCTGCAGCCTCCTGGGGACAGGTGACCTCGGCCGCCTCGGCCTGCGGCAGTGGGCGCCCGGCCGCCGCCTCTTCGGCATGAGCCCGCTGGTGGGCCAGGAGGCTGGCCAGCTGGGGGAAGGCCCTGTCACAGCCGCCACAGCGGTAGGCCGGCGCCCCAGCCGGCCCGTGACTCTGCTGGTGGCGGGACAGGCCAGCCGAGGTCTTAAAGGCTTTGCCACAGGGCGAGCAGGTGAAGGTTGCGGGCCGGGCAGCGGTCGCCTCCGTCCCGGGCTCCGGGCAGGGCTGGTGCTCCAGGAGCAGGGTCTCGCTGGCAAAGGCCAGCTCGCAGCCCCCACAGCGGTAGACCAGCTCCACCGTGGTCTCCGCGGCAGCCAGGAAGAGCTCCGGGACCACAGGGGGAGGGGGGGGTGGAGGCAGAGGCGGAGGAGGGGCCTCGGCAGCGTGAGTCTGCAGATGGCGCTGAAGGTAGGCATCCGAGGCGAAGACCTTGCCACAGGGCTCACAGCGGTGCGTGCAGGCCGAGGCCACCGCCGGCCCATGTGTCCGCTGGTGGAGGAGCAGGTTGGAGGAGTGCGTGAAGGTCTTGGGGCAGGCGGGGCAGCGGAAGGGCCGCTCTCCCGTGTGCACCCGCTGGTGCTGCCGCAGGTTGGTGCTCTGGGTGAAGCTCTTGCCGCAGACACCACAGGGGTACGGCCGCTCACCCGTGTGCACGTGGCGGTGTCTGCGGAGGCTGGATGAGTTCTTGAAGGCCTTAGGGCAGTCTGGGCACGGGTAGGGCCGCTCCCCCGTGTGCTGGCGCAGGTGGTACTGGTAGTGGGAGGACCACTTGAAAGCCAGGCCACACTGGGCGCAGGTGAAGGCGCGCAGGCCCGTGTGCACGCTGCGGTGAATCTGCAGCAGGGATGAGCGCTTGAAGGCCTTGCCGCAGTCCGGGCAGGGGTAGGGCCGCTCTCCCGTGTGGCCGCGCTGGTGGTACAGCAGGGCCGAGGAGCCCTTGAAGGCCTTGGGGCAGTCCGGGCACTTGTAAGGCCGCTCCCCCGTGTGCGTCCGCTGATGGTGGAGCAGGCGGGATGACCACTTGAAGGACTTACCGCACTCCCCACACTCATACTGTGCCGGCGGTGGGCCGGCAGGGGGCGCCGCCTGCTCCCCAGGTCCCTCGGTGGGTGGAGCTGGGGCCATGTCCAGGTGGGAGCCCACCATGGCACCTGTGAGGATCAGTCAAGGAGCAGCTATTAGATGCCTTCTGGGTGCCGGGAGAAGGGCGGGGAGGAGATACGTGAGTTAGTATGGTAATGGGGGTAGCAGTAGGAAAAGCCTCTCACATAAGCAAGGTGGCGAAAGAGGGACAGCCTCCCAGGTAGGAAGCCGGGGTGCCTGGGCAAAGGCCCGGAGCGGGGAGATGAGCTGTCACATAAGGGGAACAGGAAGGAGGCCTGTGAGGCTCCAAGGGAGCTTAGAGAGTTCAACCCCTTCTTTTTCCAGAGAAGGAAACTGAGGCGCTCAGAAGGCGGCACACAGCCTCCTGATGGATCCTGGGACCAGAAACTTCTGCTTCCCTCGCTGAGCCTCGGTTTCCCCTTCCACAAACGCGGGCATTGGCCGCAGGCTCTTCCCTTAGCCCCCATTAACCCTTTGGCCCCTTTAAGAAACTGACAGGCGCCTTTAAGAGGGAAGATTATTTTCCTGCCGATGGAAGAAAGGCCTGTGGGGAGAGACTCCCCTTTAAGACAGACAACAGGTGTCTAGCTTAGTCCCGCCCCTTCCGGTCACACCGGCCACGCCCTTCCAGGTCCCCTTCCTCCTTCCCTAACAACCCCCCCACCCTCGTTTTTCTCCCTTTCTTGGTTTCTTACCTGCGGCTTCGGGGGCAGGGGAAACGGGGGGCCCTGAATCGGGGGATGCCGGGAAGGTGGGAGTTCCGGGAGGGCCGGGGAGGGAGGACAGCCTCCCAAAGGCCCCAGCGCGAGGCAGCCAAGCTTGATCAGCAGCGGCCGCGCACACAAACTGTCTCCCTCACGCGTCAACACGCATGCGCAAACTTGATTGACCGTCCCAAGGATTTCTGGAACTAGTAGTCCCAGCGCCTCAATGGACTACAATGCGCATGCGTGATCCGAGATTTCACATCGAGAACGCCTAAATTGTTAGGCTCCACCCCGCTGCGGGTCAAATCACTGCGCACGCGCAATTTTCCACTGGCCGCCGCTGCGGCGACTTCAGAGACTTGTGGTTCTTCACTTCGTCCCTTGTGTCAGTGCGCGTGCTCACTTGTGACTTATTGTTTCCTACTTGGGTCTCAAATCTTGTGCACCTCCGACGTATGCTTGCCTCATGATGCGAATTAAGCCAGGGGCCACTGCGCACGCACCCTTCTCTCTTTCCGCGATTGGGCGCCGCGGTGCCGGTGCATTCTGGGACTGGTAGTTCTTGGGTAGGAGCGCCTGATCCCTGGCTCCCCAGACTTACCTGTTAGGGATGCAGGTGGCTACGCTCCGGGAGCCCCCTAGGAAGGACAAAATTGTTGGGTCAAGAGGAGGCCGCTTTGGGCCTGGAATCCTTTGAGCTCGTCCCAGTTCCCGGATAAACCACCTGGGGGGGCATTCTGCCGCTTTTCCCTGTCCCACTCCCCGGATAATTCACAGTGGTCTAAAGAATTCCGCCGAAGTGGAAGGTCCTGGGCGGGCATGAGATTAGCTGCCGGCCAAGAATGAGAGTGTAGAAACACGCCCCTCCCACACACACCCCAGTTATCCACAGACCCTGGATAACCCACTGAATCTGAAACTCCCTCACTGTCGGGCTGGGTGTCACGGACTGCAAAGTGGGCGCATCTCCCACCCCAAGGACGCAATTTCGTGTTCTTGCCTCTAGCGAAATTAACAAATTTGGAAGAAAAGTCCACAGCGGTGCTCCTCACCCTGGGGAGCCGCAGGGCTCAGGGGATCTTGGCTTTGCCCGGCCAAGCTCCGGGCTGGAGAGGAAGCCAAGCCACCTACCCCCGCCCCAGCAGGCCTCCACCTCCCCTCACATTTCCAGGACAACCCGCCCCGTTATCGGGGCCTAAATGGACCTCCTGCTCTTCCCCACTCCCCAAACACAACACGCTGCCTGCCGCTTTAAACAGCCCTGCTCACTTGAGGGCACTGATGGATCCAGCCAGGTACCCAGTGAGAGCCTTGGGTGGATTTGAGCCTGGGCACTGGCTGCGCAGGCTTAGAATATACCAGCCTGCCTACTAAGCCTTCTCCAGGTCTCAGTATCTCCATCTGTAAAGGGCGTGATGTTGTGTGAAGCTTCAAGTTCATCTTAAAGGCAGAGGGTCCTCGGTCACATTTAAATCATTGAAGGGAATCTGGCTGTTCTGCCCAGTCCCTTAATCCTCTCTGATTCCGGACCCAGTTCCACGCCCTCCCCACGGCTCACCCTGGCTCACCCCGACCTCTCCATAGCATATCGAACCCAGCGAGACCTGCAGCCCCAGTTCAGCTGCTGAATTGAAAGAACTGGGCTGTCTTCAGATTGCCTTCGGATCCCCATAGAGCAGCTGGACACATCGCTCCCAATAATACCCTGGGAGAAGAGATGGAAATTGCTGCTGCCCGTCTTCAGGGAAACTCCGAGAGCTTTGGTTTCAGGGGTGGCCACTCCAAGCTTCAGGTATTCTCATCCTCCCCCCCCCCCCCCCCCCCCACACTCTAAATTAGAAGCAGAGAAAAAGTTTATGGGTAATGGATATAATTGGCTGGGCTTGGAGTCAGGAAGACCTGAGTTCAAACCTGACCTTAGACACTTAGATGGCTGGGTGACCCTGAGCGAGTCACTTAACCTTATTTGCCTCAGTTTCCTTATCTATAAAGTGAGCTGGAGAAGGAAATGGCCAAAATACTCTATCCTAAAATGGGGTCACGAAGAGTTGCCATGGCTGAACAACAACAAATAGATATAATCGGGGAGTTCCCCTCTCCATCCCTCATACCCACAAGCCCTGGCTGGAGCACACCCTTGGAGCAGACCTAGAGCCGGCCCCTTCCAGTGCCACATTTGCACGGGCCTTTTCCAGGGGCTCCTTGACAAAAGACATGGGCACCCTAAGGTTTCAGCTTGGGTTCCATTTGCCACTTTTCCACTATCCCCACTCCCCTCGTGGGGACGTGGGTGGGGGTACATTGATTCAAAGCTTCATCAGAGCTGAGTGGAGCTGGCAGCTGAGAAGACCTTAGAAAGAGTGATTGGTCCTCTGCTGGGTCTCTTCTCTCCTGAAAATCTAGCCTGGCTTGGAACTTTCCCTCTGGGACTTTTAGCGGGGTAAAACAGGAGACTTGTCCTTCCTCATTGGCAGGAGTTGTGGTAGCTTTAAGTGCTTGCCTTTGTTGCTTAAATAGTCTGGCCTTCAGACTTCAGGCTTCTGGCTTCTGGCTTCAGGCTTCTGGCTTCAGGCTTCTGGCTTCTGGCTTCAGGCTTCTGGCTTCAGGCTTCAGGCTTCTGGCTTCAGGCTTCAGGCTTCTGGCTTCAGGCTTCAGGCTTCAGGCTTCTGGCTTCTGGCTTCAGGCTTCAGGCTTCTGGCTTCTGGCTTCAGGCTTCTGGCTTCAGGCTTCAGGCTTCTGGCTTCAGGCTTCTGGCTGCTGGCTTCAGGCTACTTCTCCTGCTTTTGGTTACTCAGAAGTGAGGCTGACATCAGGGGTGCTCCTGGGTCCCTCCAGAGGTGGCCCCTGAAGCCACTGGAGTGCCCAAGTCCCAGCCTGGCTGGCTAGAAGCTGAGGAGCTAGAGAGATGGCCCAAGGGAAGGGGAAATGGCTCCCTCAGCAAGCTGCCACCTGGTTCCAGTTTGGAGGTTTTAGGCCTCCTCCATCTGGAGGATGAGGAGTTGTAAGTTACTGCCTCAGGGGGAAGTCTTGGCTGGAGCATCAGTCTTTTCCGTCTGAAACTTTTCCCCTTGTGTGGAGGAAATAAACAGCTGTCCCATACCTGGTCTACACTCTACATTTCAACACAGGAGCCAAACTTTAGGTGACTTTCCTGGGGGGACCATCATGGAGGTATGAAGGGCCGGAGAGAAGGAGAAAAGGAGCCTGTGCCCTCTCGTCAGAGTCCGGTGAGGCCTGAATCTGATCTGAGCGTGCCTGTCCAGAGCTGGTGGTGAGACAGCGAGCATGCCAGCTGCCCTGGGCCCAGCAGTGTGGGGGGGCGGGGTCTGTGCACATGCCGCCTCCCCCCAGAAGGAAGGAGAAGCCTTGAGGGCACAGACAATTTCACGTCTGTCTTTTTATTTCCTTACACAGTACCTGGTGCACAGTAGGTGCTTAATCAACCCTTGTTAATTAGCCGGTGCCCCCCCAGAGGTGAGGTGAGGATCAATGTCCATGAAGTGCTTTGTAAGCTAGGAAGCGCCGCGTAAATGGGTGCTGTTATTATCACTGCCATCCTCATCCTCATCCTCATCCCAAAGAGGGGTTCCGGGAGGGGGAAGGGAACAAATGTTCATGAAGTACCTGCTACATGCCAGCCACTGTGCTAAGTGTTTGCAAGTATTTAATGCTCACGACAACCCTGGGAAACAGGTGCTCTTATTACCCCCATTTTACAGTTGTGGAAACTAAGGCAGTCAAGTGACTTGCTGAGGCTCACACAGCCAGAAAGCGTCTGAGGCTGGATCGGAACTGAGGTCTTCCTGATTCCAGGCCCTGCACGCTATGTCTCAACATGGCAGCCTTGAGAGAAGAGGAAACAGCAGGGACAGAGCTCAAAAATCATCTTACTTTGGGGATGGAAAGATGGAGTTCCAAGCTAGGATGCCAGGGACAGTTGAGCTGGAAAACCAGCCTCTGGGGGCAGGGAGGCAAGGGCAGAAGGAGGGAGCTGGGGCTCATGGGAGACACGGAACACTGTGTTACTGGCCGTGGGGACCCTTTTCCTTTAGGGACTCGGTTTCCTTTTTTGTCATATGAGGGAGTTGGTCTCTTCCAGCTCTAGATTTTTCACCAGCCCCTCCAGGCGCGCTTTCTACTACGAATAGCAGTTGGTACGGCTCTCTGGAGTGTTCAGGGTGGACTAACTCCTCCAGTTTGAGGCTGCTCATCCACCTTTGGGGTCCATCTTTACCCCACTCTCACCTGTGCCTCCAAGAAGCTATAATATGCCCAGTGGCCGCACCCTGCTAAAACCGTCTTGGCAGACGGACTCAGCCAGGTTGAGGGTAACCAATGAGCCATCCGTAAGTGAGAAAGGTGTCTACCCCAACCATGTGAAGACTTCCCTGGGCAAATCCAGTGACCATGGAGGTGGTGCCTGGAGGTTGGCCAGACATCAAAGATGCCAAAGTCATCTCCTGCTTGCTGAGCCTTCCACAGTCATCCTGACTTTTGTCTTGCCCCTGGACATCAACGACTGGAGGAGAGAGGCTGGCAGCTCTGTGCAGTTCCGTCTCACTTAAATCCAGTTCACAGAGGAGTCAGGACATCACCCATGATGTCATTGGGCCTTTTCAAAAAAGAAGGATGAACAACAAAAATCAGCGGATATCAATTAGTCAGCCAGACTTAATTAGCTTCTAGAAAGTGGTACATTCAAAGTCAAGTCAGCAAGAATTTATTAAGCACTTCCTATGTGCCAGGCACCGTGCTGGGAATACAAATGTAGGGGTTGCCCTCAAAGGGTTTACATTCCAATGGTAAAAGACAATAACATGAAGGGAATGGGGAGGGGCATGATGGAGAAGGAAGTTCGGAGAATCAGGAGTGGAATCTGGAGAGATATGAAGGCTGCCACCTGGTCGTCCTCTGCGCCAAGAAAAATGTCTATGCGCATTCTCACCCAAGTCTGTACAGAGTCTAGGGGAAAGTGAGCTCAGGCTTAGACCCAGGCAGTAGACTTGGTAACTTGTAGCTCAAAGAAGTCATTTGGCTGGAGTCTTCGAGATGTTCCCATTGTGGTGGAACTTTCTGTTGGGCTCCTTGGAGAACCCTCAATCATTTTCCTGATTTCATCCAGACTGTCCTTGGCTTCCCATGCAGATGCTGGGGATGCTTCTTGGGCA